CTCTTCCAGATGGTGAAAACGAGCACAATCTCAACCTATCAGGCCAATCTTCTTGAAGAAATATGCTGTTGTTTACTGTTCCCGGAGTGTAATCTGTTAGTGAAGATTTATTTTTAGTGAATAGGAATGTATCCCTAATCACTTGTATTCGTGTATTATATTCATTTGTTTCTAGCTTGTACAGCTCGTGTCCAGTTTGATAGTTGAAAACTCTGACGAACTCTTTGACTTCATGGCCACAGTCGGAAAGGGCCAAAAAACCATCAGTTATAACACATGGGAAAATTTGCTCAAAAGAATAGTCTGGATCTAAATCCTTGTTATATATAACAGTAAACATTTTCTTAAATGGTAAGAATTTGAGCTTATTTGCATTGTAAACTTTACATTCAAAAGTCGCCAAACGTGATCCTGATATATCATGGGGGGCGAGTGAGTGAAGGATAGTAACTAACACATCTTCACATCTATTTGAACCAAATTTACATCCAACAATCATCAATTCATTATGTGGTAAGAATGGAAATTCTTTTCTGAGTTCTACTCCAGTTTCTAGGTCCCACACGGAAAAGGAGTTCTTGATACAAAAAGCTCCTGTGGAAGGGAAGTATCCAATGCACTTCCCCCCTGGAGTAATGACTATTTTAAAATCTTTGACAGAAAAATATTTGTCCTCGCTGCACCCCGGTTTGAGTGACAAATCTTTGTCATTGTATTCAAAATGCCATTTTGTGATTTCAGTGCTTTCATTTTGATTAACCTTGAGAATGTCTATAGAATATTGTTTATAACGTTTACGACAAATACCGCCTTTGAGGACGACAATCCCATTCTCGAAGACCAGGTCGTCGAAGATAGGGTTGTACCATTTATCTTTGCTGAATGATATGGTATCCTTTAGAACTGGACAATCCGCTCTTATGTCCCATAGCTCCACTGAACGAGAATGAAATCGAATTATCAAATCATTTCTTACAAATTCCGCCCTTTCATAAATTTCATTATTTCCCAAATCATACTCCACAGTTTTGAAGTTCCGCTTTTTCCAGTTTGTCCACAAATGTTGTTCTCGTAGAAAGGCTGCTCTCCATTGACTCAGAGGAGGTAGTGAAGTGCCAAGATGTTGAGGGAGTTGAAAAGTTGGCTCCACTACACACGGAGTTGTCCTCAGGTATTCCTCTATCTCCGAGTCACACAGTCGCTTCCAAACCTGTTGACAAAGTGTGTAAATGTATAATATAATTCACTAAAGTTCGGCCGCATAGAAAACGACCTGCGTGCTAATGCTAAACAAATGCTAGAGAAGGTCGCTTTCTAAGCGGCCGAACTATAATTGATTGATTTTACATTATGTCAGCAAAAGCACCTTTTTTTTAATTACAGGACTGGCCGTAGCTAATTGAACCAAGACATTGTTTATTTTGTTTGCTTCCAGATTGACTTGAGTAAATCTTGGCAAGAAGAGTTCTAAAGTCTGAAACTTTTCAAATCCGATCTACTGTGATGGTTGTAAAGCATTTAATTGGAGTACAAATGTCAAAAATCTATAAAACCTGATTAGCGGATTGAGGTTCTTGGTTTGTCTCCCTCCTTTGGGAGACATTGAAGAAGAGTTATGAAACCAACCGATGGAAAAGTAACCCGAAGATAGTTGTTGGTGATAATGTTGAGTTTGTGTGGTTTAAAGGATTGGTTAAGAAAATTTCCTTTATAGAATCTAGTAAAAGTAAGACAATGTTGCATTATCTTAAATCCAACCTCTTGTTCAGGAAGGCAGTTTTCTCCCCTAAAGGGCACACAGCTTTTTCCTATTTGGAGGCAACCTAATTTTAAAATATTTTATTTTGGTCTTTCATATTTTTTGGGAGAAACCTTTTTTCATTTTTATATCTCCATTCAAATGTTGCTTTAAGAACCAAACTTAGCCGGAAAAAATTAAAAAAATAAACATTGCACAACTAAAAAAAATAAGATGGCCTTATGAGGGAGTGAGTGAGTAGGAATGGGAGTCTAAAGATATACATACATTAATTGCATGGATAACAAACACATTAAATTACATTTAAAATTTATGAAGGCCAAGACAGAAATATTTACTGATTAAAAGAAGAAATAATTATGTTTGTTGACGGTATATTATTATCAATATTTAATGCTCTATTTCCTTGTGAAAGTGGGTGCACTCCACTTATCTCACTATTGTCACTGTCCTCTCCAGATCCTCCAAAAATCATTTCTGTTGGATCCTCATTTTATCTCCCCACGCATCACTGTCGATGTGGTGTCTGTTGTACTTTAACAGGGACACCATCTAACTTGGGAAATAGCTGGTTTGGAAATAACTCTACCGATTACATTTTGTTAAACTTGTGACCAACGATGTTGTGTAATGAAAGGTTAGATGCTGAGTGAGAGAGGATCCAGTTGCGGATGTTACACGCTATCCTTCAAATTTGGTAATATAGGAATTTTTTGAAGAAAATAGAAGCATGCAGTTTAGAATAAATCCTGCGGCATCACCTGCAAGGAGAAGTAGCCTACCACCTTCCCTAATGGCACTGCCATTGTTGCATTCACAGAATCATCTGTCCATGATGAAGTTTTAGAATGGTTAGAATGGTTACCTATGTTTTGTCTAGCCAGACAACATCATCTATATTTATGTTTTTCATCCGGCCTGCAGCCTGCACCGCCACTCTACAATGTCTGGTCTTTCATCAGAACAACTTTTCTCTTCCCCGTGAACTTGTATTTAAATCCTATGATTTTTTTAATTACAGCTAGAGAGAACAAGTGCTACCAGAAAATAAATCTCTTGATTGATCGAGTCCTTTTTTTCAGTGTTGGGTACTCCCTTCTCCTGCAGTATCCATAAACACATTGGCGGATAGCATCTCTGCAGAAGTTGTCCAGCCGGTAACTGTTTTCTGATGAGGAGACTTCTTATTTGGAGTGCAGAACTCTCCATTTGCCCCCTCTTCAATGTTTTTATTCTACTCAGCACATATTTTTACTACCTTGTTCTTGTTGATTCCCAAGGCAGACACAGTCTGTTGAACCACTTTTGATACTGACAGAAGAAGGGCGAGGGGCATTATTCTCTTTTTCCTGCCGACATATATTATTCCTGGAAGCAAGTGGAGTGCAATGGCAGTATGTGGAGGAAGTGGAATTGTGTAAGGACAGAAGAAGATGGAGAGGCCTAGTGAACACCCTACCCGAAGATAATCAGAGCGGGGAGGATATGTATGTACGAAACAAACCAATGAAGGGAACTAAAATAAGGTGATTTTTCCATAGAGATGAAGAAAGCAAATAATTTACTATACAGGTATACCTCTAGGGTAATGACGTATTGCCTAAAGCAAGCCTCCATAGTTAATTTTATTTTGAATACTTAAACAAGGTATTTTTGAAATCACTAAGATTAAGACATAACCTCAATCTCTACGGACGGAGCTGACAGTTTACCTCAGTTTCTAACAGATTGAGATTAGCTGGAAAAACAAAAGGATCCAGAATTTAGAGTGAGAGTTAGCTAAAAGCTCACAAGCCACTCTGCACTGTAATACTGTATTTGGTTCAAAATGATGTAATCTGTATTTCGTGTGGTGTTGCCGCTTTCATTTCCAAACGAGTCACTCCTAGAGACTACCAACTCACTTCTCAACTGTTGGATTTCAAAAATAGCAAATCCTGTTGTTGGTTGAGAAGCCTCTGTGCTGTTGCACCGGTTCAGTACCATAGGGTTACAGACAGGGCAATGTAGGTTTCAATTTTTTAGGAACTTAGTTATAGTCTGCCTGAGCATTTATAAAAAATAAAAATTTAAAGTAGGTGGTCACATGAAATAGGCCTACACTAATTTGGAGTGGATTAAAGTATATTTATGTAATTTTCTTGTATCAAAACTTAAATATAGCAGAATTTGCAAAGTACAACAAATCAAAGTTAACAGACTTTTTATTTTCATAAACACCCTCAACTTTTTTGTCTCTCAATATTTAGGTAGGTACTAGTTGATCAAAGTTTCATCAATATATATTCATAATTAATTGAGATACCAATCAAATTTTAATTATTCTCCAAAAGGATAACAATGGACAACGTACTGTGTTTAGCATTTTGAATATCTCTGCAACGGTTGGACAATCACAATTTAAACACCAACATGATACTTTTGTAGAGCTGAATTGATCGGTAAAAGAAAATATAAGTTTACAGTAAAATTAACTGTAGAAAAGCTAACAACCTTTTTCCCATTAGATTAACATAGGAATTTTTATGAAAACATTTTTTGGATTTTCTTTGGAACTACTTAACCTAGGTTTAAAATTCTAAATACTAGGCCTATATAGTTTGTTTTTTATGCTCTACATAACGGTCCAAAAAATTTTGTGTTTTAAAAATTTTAAGGTGAATGCAAAAAACTAACACACAGGCTATATTTAACACAAAAAAAGAACAAAATGTGTTACATAACCTCAACTAAAAGGTATCTTTGTACTAAAAGTTGCATTATGATTTATTATTTGATAAAAAAGAAGAAATATTAATACTTTTATATTTTTGGTAACGTAGATTACATAAAGGAAATATTAAACTTGAGAAAAAAGTTATAAAAATACTTACCTTGAAAAAACTAATGCTTGTCCCTTATTGCCCAAAGTTTGTACTCTTCATAATCAAATAAAAACAACAAGCAGTGTTGCCGCTTAATTCACAGAAAAATTAAACTTAGAATACCCTAAAATCCTGCCTTTTGCATCATAATCAACCACAACAGTTTAAACATAGAAAAAGATGTGTAAAAAAATTGTTTTATTAAAAAATAACTTTAGCACAAAAAGATATCGGTTGTTAGCTCCTTAAATACAAATAAAACATATATTTCATTATTTAAGTTTGTTGTAATTGGTGGATTTTATTTTGAAATGGCCGTTCTGTAATCTATTCCTACTATAGAACAGGTAGAACAGGAAACTGGACAGTTACGGTACCTCATTGCTGCCAAAAACTTCTCGCCAGTGAAGTGAAACACTACAGCAGGTGGATATATCCTTCGGTGTGAGGTATTTTGCCACTTCCATGGCTAAATCACAATGAATGTACTCCATCTAATAAAAAACAAAATTAACTATGTAAATCACAAACTCAATTTTTAAAAATATATGACTATTGAACTAGTCATGCAACATATATATAAAACTTATAATTTTTCTGGCAGGACTGCAATGCCCTGCTAGGAGGAGCTCACTTGATACTTACTTGCTTAAATATTCTCTATCCTGTGATTATTCTTAACATTAATGCTAGGCCTAGAGGTAGGAGCGTTATCACTTAGATAAAATCATCAATCGGTGATTGACGGTTTGTTTGAAATAGGGAACCTTTTAAGGCTCTTTACTGTTCCACTAGACCGGCTCACTCCCCAGTGATACCTAGTAGTAGGAAATCTTGGGATCTGTTCTCATAGCCACTTTCATCCACCAAGAAACGTAACCTATTTAAACATAGAAGGAGGTCAAACTTATATCCTAGCCCTTTCCGATTTTGTAGGGATTTCAAAAAGAGTTACTCATTATAGTGAAATAAAATCTACTCTCTGCATGGTTCCTAGTCTGTTATTACATCTCAACCTGTGACTAGGTTATATTTCACGGTACCTTGCCTAGAAGTATAATTTGAAAAAAATAGGCCTATCCTAGTCTTAAAAGCTCGACAGGAGTATTTCCTTATGGAATTTCCTTACTCATTTGAGCTAGGATTTAGGATACATATACAATGTGAGGTGTGTGCATAAATGTTCGGCAGAAATAAGTAGGATGTAATATTAGGCTACAGACTTTATTTGGTCGTAACATTGTTCAATAATATTTTAAAAAATATTGCAGACATTTTCCATTATAATTAGTAAAAAATACAATTATCACGACACGATATAACATTTTCTTCTTTCAAGTACCTAATAAAATATAAGTTACCTACGCAATAATTTCTTAAATAACGTATTTAAATATAGGGCTGTTCAATGCATAATCTCTTCTTCTTTATAAATAAAGGATGTTTGATTTAATATGAATTGAAACTTCTACATCTATAGCAATTAAAACAAAAATTTCCTGTTGAAAATCAAAAATTAAAAAAAGTTAATTTAGGTAGGCTACCTATTGGGTCATTTTCTTTCATTTATTTCATACTTTTTTTATGAAAAAAAAAAATGACTGAACCTAATATCATTTTAGGTTAAACCTCTCCTTTAAATCTTAGCAGAAATAAAATAAACTTTGGATAGGCTTTGTTTGAATGATAGCAGTTATTTGTTACAATAATTCTGCTTTTTAAAGAATTTCCCATACAGGGCATAAGCCAGAGGCGCATCCAGACCTTTGTTTTTTTTTGGGGGGGGGGCTTTTGATGTATGTGCTTGGCAATACCCACCATGGAGAGGGGGGCTCCGGGGGTCCTCCCCGGGAAACTTAAGAAAATTATACCTGCAAACTCACGTTTTTAGGCTATTCATGGATGTTTAAAATATAGATTTTTTTTACTGGAAAAAGATTTTTTACTGTCAAAATGTTTGACCCTAAAACGCAACATTTTCCGATTTCTCTCTAAACCATTTTGAAGAGCTTAAGAAACAAATAATTTAACATACTGAAGTGTTTTGTGGGGTTATTGGTTCTAAGGGAGAAAATTTAATTTATTGAGGTTCTACTGTAGGCCGATTACCATTGCAATAGGTGCAGACCAAACCAACAGGTTGGGGTGTCCTAAACCAGGGGGTGTGGTGTAGGCCTACTGTTCAAAGATGTAGGGGCTGGTAAACTTTATTAAGTTACTACCACTCCACTTTATGGAAGTATACAAAATATGTAGGACTGTAGGCCTACTACATAAAAGTTAGATACGGTATGGTTGATGTGTTTGCCTCTCATGGTATGCTGCTTTGCAGATGCTGTTTGCTATTATCAACTTATTTGGGTACTTTAGCATGGGAACGCGCCAAGGCCTTCAGACAACATGTCTTCACGATGATAAAACCTACCAAAATTTGGACGTCACAGCCAGCACCCCTCTGCTCTTATCTATCTCAGTAAAGTGGGGGAAGCCGTTGCGGCAATGCCCCAAGTCCAGTCCACCAATTGTCCTCCACATGACAAATCCTACCAAAATTTAGAAGTCACAGCCGCCAGCCCCTCTCTGCTATCTCTATCTGAGTAAAGTGGGGAAAGCCATTGCGGCAATGCCCCAAGTCCAGCTCGCGGCTGTGATATATATATGTATATCACATAGGATACACGTTCGGTAACCGGTTGTGAGAACCCAGAACGCCATTACAACAGCCAATACAGCCATCGGTGTTAGATTGGTGTGAACCTGGCAATAACTCGGCAATAACTAGTGCACACACCTTAAAAAATCTATTGCTGGCCGTTTTGCGGGAAAATACGGCCACAAAACATATCACCGATAATGTCAACAGATAGAGGACAATTTAACGGACACGACAGTATCAACATCATGTACCTAGGGAGTAAGTTAGGGGGGGGGGGGTAAAATAAGCAATAATTAGTGTGCACGCCCGATAAATCTATTGCTGGCTGTTTTGCAGAAAAACATGTCCGCGATACATATAACCGATTATGCCAACAGATAGAGTACACTTTAACGGACACAGCAGTATCAACATCATGTACCTGGGGAGTATGTTAGGGGGGGTAAACTCAGCAATAAGTAGTGGGCGCGCCTTAAAAAATCTATTGCTGGCTGTTTTGCGGAAAAATACGTCTGCGATACATATTACCGATAATGCCAACAGGTAAAGGACATGACAGTATGAACATCATGTACATGGTGAGTAAGTTAGGGGGGGGGGGGTAAAATCAACAATAAGTAGTGCGCGCGCCTTACAAAATCTATTGCTGGCTGTTTTGCGGAAGAACACGACCGCGATACATATTACCGATGATGGCAACAGATAGAGGACACTTAAACGGACACGACAGTATCAACATCATGTACCTGGGGAGTAAGTTAGGGGGGGTAAAATCAGCAATAAGTAGTGCGCACGCCCAATAGTCTATTGCTGGCTGTTTTGTGGAAAAATACGTACGCGATATAAAATATTGCGGGAAAATATTGTTGATTTTACCCCCCCTAACTTACTCCCCAGGTACATGATGTTGATACTGTCGTGTCCGTTAAAGTTTCCTCTATCTGTTGGCATCATCGGTAATATGTATCGCGGACGTATTTTTCCGCAAAACGGCCAGCAATAGAATTTATCAGGCCTGCGCACTACTTATTGCTGATTATACCCCCCCTAACTTACTCCCCAGGTAGGTACTGTCAAGCGGGGTAATTCTGACTCCCAGGGGTAACATTGACCCCTTTTATTATTTTTTTATGACTAACATATGACCATAAAAAAAAAATAATTACTGGAAGGTATTCACACAGTACCTGTATATAATTTAAAAAATATATTGTGAATATTTATCAATATAAACAAAAATTAATCAACAAAAACATCAAAAAAGGGGTCAATCTAACCCCGGTTGACAGTACATGATGTTGATACTGTCGTGTCTGTTATCTGTTGGCATCATCGGTAACATGTATCGCGGACGTATTTTTTCGCAAAACAGCCAGCAATAGATTTTTTAAGGCTCGTGCACTACTTATTGTTGATTTTACCCCCCCCCCCCCCAACCAGGGTTGGTACTGGTAGTTTGGAAATGAAATTCCCTGACTTTTCCAAACTGATATACTTTTTCCAGGTATACCGTAAGACGATATTGAATAGTCAGAATCAAGAATTATTAGAAAAAAAATGTAGGCCTAAGGAAAAATGTAGGCCTAAATAGTTCAGGCCTACTCATAAAACCAATAAGAAAAGAATTAAACATCTGGAATCTGGAAAATTAAGAGTACCAACTAACTTAACCTCACACTTTATGTTCTACTTGGCCTTGACTTGACACTAGCAGATAGACGATACGGTGCTTCTGATACTGATATATATCGATATTTTGCTTGCGATATCATCGGCTTATATCGGAAGAAACATGTGATATTGGAAAAATAACTAGGTACCATGCTTGTACCGGAGACAAAAAGTAGTACCAACCTAAACTATTAAATGTTTCAAGTACCGTAACAGGATAAAAGTTTTTTTATTAACTCCTACAAGTGCAGTTTTTTTTAGTTTATTAAAGGTTGAATCAGTATTGGTATAAATTGAATGAGGAATTGTATTCAGTACCGTATTGAAATTGAAACGATGAATGTAGGCCTATCTTTCCGCGCATCGCGGTACTAGCAGTGTTTCCATACGTGGGATTATTATCCCGAAAACAGGATTTTTAGAGCATGAGTGGGATTTGAAGGGGATGTGGGATAAAACAGGAGTTTTGGCTACGACGTCCGTTTTTATTTACTATGCTTTATTTTAGTGAAAAACTAACTCCAATTAGGTGTCCCGCCTAATTGTTTACTCCTGGGCTCCACCCTTTTCTTGAGCGATCGCCGAATTATGGTGTCTCCCTTAACTCTGACTTAATTATGTACTAAGGGTTCTAAGTGTAAATTGCACATTTTAAAATTATTTTCATTTTATAAGGTAGTTTATGTTTACAGTTGCCTCAGATATCAATTATTTTTTGGTTTTAGTTTAAAATCTGACCTAAGAGTCGGCAGGACTTTCGGCCATCTTGGATTTCCCCCAAAACAGCAATGTTATTAATTGTTGAAGCAAATTACGACATTGTTTATTAAGATAAAAAGTTTCGAGGTCAATCCCAACCGCTGCAATGTTACTTTGACGCTGTCACTCGTCCTGGGTAACGTCGTAACGTGGTGGCGACGGTTGTTCGATACACAAGCCGAGTGGTTGGTTTTTATATTTGGGCTTAAATTATAATTTTAAATCGATGTTTGAATTGCCGTTTACCTTGTTCTTTGCCTAAAATGTAATATAGATAATTGTACTGTTCACATTCACTCAATGAATTTACAATTTTATTCGTATTAAAAATTTACTGTTCCCTAAAATTTGTTTGTTGCCCTGGCTCTGCCGCCCCAGTTCCACCTCCGTCTAACATCCCCGCCATGGCTCCGCCGCGGCCACCCCGGCTCCGCCGCCCCGGCCCCGCCGCCCTGGGCGACCGCCCGGTCCGCCCACCCCTGGGGCCGGCCCTGCTCCCCAGGTACATGATGTTGATACTGTAGTGTCCGTTAAAATGTCCTCTATCTGTTGGCATCATCGGTAATATGTATCACGGACGTATTTTTCCGCAAAACGGCCAGCAATAGATTCTATAGGGTGCGTGCACTACTTATTGCTGATTTACCCCCCCTAACTTACTCCCCAGGTACATGATGTTGATACTAGTGTCCGTTAAAGTGTCCTCTATCTGTTGATATTATCGGTAATATGTTTCGTGGCCGTATTTTTCCGCAAAACGGCCAGAAATAGATTTTTTAAGGCACGTGCACTAGTTATTGCCGAGTTATTTCCAGGTTCACACAAGTGGTGTTCGTGGGGTTGTGGATAGAGAGCAATATGGATTTGCAATATTTTAGAGTGTGGGATATGCAGGAGGTCCCTGGTTTGAATCCCATTGGTAACTTTAACCCTCCAAGTGTCCATAGTTTTGGTCTTAATGTTCGCCCATTTATTGCGCAATCGCAGGGTTTTATTAAAATGTAGCCTATCTTAGAAACTTAAAAACAATGTTAAGTCTTACTGTTTTATATAGGTATCATTTTGATTGGAAAATTATGGGCTTCAATGTAATATATATAAAACATTACAAAAAAAGTTCAACAATTTTTATGGGGTTAACATTTCTAAAATTAATGAAAAACATTTATGTTTGCGCTCAATAAATTGTTATAATTTATAGGTCTACAAATATTTTAAAATAGCCACTTTTGTTCAGAGTTTTATGAGGATTCCAAAAATATAATAAGGAAGTAGGCTTGCAAATCAATAAGTTATGGGCAAAAAACAGATTTTGGTAGCCTACATAGCGTTTAGCTAAGAAGCATAGGCTAGCCTAACCATAGCTAGGAATCTGGCTGATAATTTACATCAATATCACTACCTACTTCTTTGGGATCATCAACCAGCCCTTCAATATCATTTAAATCTTCTTATAATGCATCGCGTATAATACTAGGCCTACTTTTGATTTTTAACACTAAAACAATGATTGATAAAACAGTAATAAAACACATCCAGTCATCGGTGCGAGGTTAACCAAGTTATTTAGAAATACGCACGTCAGCTGTCTGCTACAATATTTTCGGAACTAAAATGAATAGCGTCTAAACAGACATCAGGAGAAAGCTCAGAATATGCCGAAAACAACAATACCAATCTCGATTCTAGTTCAATCTGATTCAGTCAGTCCCAGAGCCTTCGCCGTAAACGATGTTTGTGGGTCGCAAAAGCGACGCATAACACCACGGCGAGTGTGTTGTGCGTCGATTACGCGACGCTTAAGTTAACTCTCTGAGGGTTAACATTTTGTCAAAGATTTTGCTTTGAATGTCATTTCTCCTCTACTGTTACAATTTCTGGCATTTATAATTTTATTTTAAGAACAAAATTTAACCTTCATTCGATTTTTTATTAGGCCTATCAGCAAGTTTGGTTATGTAGCCTACCGGAATCACTTAATGTCTGTAACTTTTTTGTATAGGCCTAGGCTAGCAAAAGTTAGGCCCTAGCAATGAAAAGTTATATTACAATGTTAAATGGCAAAAGTTATATAGCAGGTTTTGCTACATAGTGTAAACCCGGCTTTAGCCCGCATAGCATTGGCCTAGCCTACTTCGGCATAGCAAGTTAGCAAAATCATCGTTCTGATAATTAATTGATCTTACCTCTAATTAAGTAGTCAAGTCAGGTTACCGGTACTTTGCTATTAGGAATAAGTAACTTAACTTTCAGTAGCCAAATTAGTAATTAACTTCATTACTCAAATAAATTCACTTTCGTTTTGCGCTTCATGACTAAAATTGCTCAACGTAGTAAATTATGTTCTTATGTTTTGTATGAACGTGCGTCGAGCCGAGCTCGTGCAACCTGTAGCCTGTCCTGTCCTGTAACCTCCTGCAATCAGTGTTTCGTTTCCTTCCACTTTCCACACGACCAAAAAGATAATCGAATCCCGCCTACTGGGTCGAGAAATCCCGTTTTATCCCGCTTTTAAATTGTGAAAAATCCCGTTTTATCCCGCATGATTTTAGCGAATTTCCCTATAGGGAAGTAGCTATTACCGTAGGTCTCATGGCAAGACTTAGGCCCGGGACCGATTTACTTTTTCATTTTAATGTCCCCAGAGGCCAAAAACACCATTCGTTCAAATTTTTATATATATATATATATATATATATAGATTTATATATATATATATGTGTCCGTGAACACGATAACTTGAGTAATTTTTATCCGATTTTGATGAAATTTGGTTTGAAGGTGTAAGGCGGGATAAACTTGAATGAGTTCGCGATCCAGCATGATCGGACCATGGGATCAGGGTTTTATGGGGGGTTTTATGGGGGGTTTTATGGGGTAAAAATTGGTTTTTCTCACTTTTTACCCTCAAAACACAAAATTTCCCAATTTTTCTCTAAACCTTCTTAAAGAGCTTAAAAAAACAAACAATTCAGTATATCAAAGTGTTTTTGTACGGTTATTGGTTACGGAGAAAACTAAAAAAATGGTAAATTTAAAATTCCCATGTTATTCTTATGGAGAATATTGTAAAATGTTGTAGTTTGCTTGTTTATGGATATATTTTGATCAAACTTGGCAAATTTATTTATTTTATAGTAAGCTATCAATATTTTACTAAAAACACCCTACTTTATTAGTTTCCTTGTAGCAGCAAACCTAGGTACTCGTTAAACCTAATGTTATTTAAATAGATCAATTGAAAATCAATTCGGCCAAATGGAAATTCGCTTAGACGGCAGGTTTGCTGCGGCGGAGGTATTTTTTTTAACAATGCCTAGTATTAATACTTGATGTATCATGTTTATAAAGTTGTTTTAACACCACTATTATATTTTGCTACAGTATTTGATCAATTTGAGTTAGTTTTTTTTCTAAAATTAAGTAGAAATAAATAAAAATAAAGTAGTTGTCCCAGACAAAAATCCCGTTTTATCCCGCATCCCGTTTTAATCCCGCTCAAGGTCTAAAAATCCCGTTTTCGGGATGATAATCCCGCGAATGGAAACCGGAAACACTGTACTACTGTACTGTATCGTTGCCCTGCAGTAATAAGTGTTCGACTTCGAGAGCCAATAGAATTTGTGGAAAAAGTAACCGTTCCTTTGCATTATTTCTTAATACTGTACTGGAACACGGGAACGGGTTGTGACCATGGTGGAAGGAAAAAACATAGGTGTGCTATTCCCACATATTCTGACGTCACTCGGATTGCAAACAAAAGATCACCTGATTGTAACTGTCAAATAAGTATGTATTTGTTTTGATTTGATTGTTATTGTTTTTATAATAATAAAAACAATAACAATCAAATCAAAACAAATACATATACTAATTTGACAGTTACAATCATGTGATCTTTTGTTTGCAATCCGAGTGACGTCAGAATATGTGGGAATAGCACACCTATGTTTTTTCCTTCCACCATGGGTTGTGACGTCATTTTGACGTGCGAATAGTCACTTCGAAATTCGAATAAACAAAACGCCTTCGTCTTCTTCTTCTTCTTCGTTCTTCGTCATCCATTTCCATTCGCCAATGAATCGCCAGTTCGCCATCACAATCACAACACAAACACAAATTTATTGGTTATGTTTATTGCTGTAATTTGTTTGAAACGCTCATATTAACTCAGTACTTATGGCATTTAATTTCCCCGCGTTTTCATACATAATAGCTCTAATTGTAGATGCATTTTTGATTTTCTTCGCAATATTTCATGTGAGTTCAATCAATTTTACTTAACTTAGGATAGGCTAAGTTACCTTTTGTTAGCCTAAGCTATCAGTTAACTTAGGCTAGGTTAGATACAACATTTTCAGACTCGATGTTTATATTAAGTTATATGCCTAAGAATAAGTTTATGGGTACAGTTTCTTAACACCGTTTCGGGTACAGTTTCTTAACTGGGCTATGCTAATATCGATTGAAACTATCGATTCGATTGGTAAGTTAACCTTCATGCGATTTTTTCACCAGCAGCAAGTTTGGTTGGTTAGGTTAGGTTATGATAGTTAAATTTTATAATATTTAAAAACATTGATTATCTTACTAACTTACTTACTTACTTACTTCTTACTTCTGAAGTCTTCTCCGCAATCGGGTGATTGGGGAATCGTCAAGATTCATCTGTTTGGTTCTCGAATTAATGTAAATATCCTAATTATACTAATATTATAAATGTGAAAGTTTGTGTGTTTGTTTGTTTATTTGTTTGTTTGTTTGTTTGAAGTTCAATCACGCATAAACCACTGGACGGATTGGGCTGAAATTTGGCTTACTAATATTATAAATGTGAAAGTTTGTGTGTTTGTTTGTTTATTTGTTTGTTTGTTTGTTTGAAGTTCAATCACGCATAAACCACTGGACGGATTGGGCTGAAATTTGGCATAATGATAGCTCACGTTCCCGATTAACATATAGGCATATTCTTATCTCAAAAATCCTTTCGGGCTCTGCCCCAGTGGCTCTGTAGTTCCCCATGTTAACCTTATGAGTATTCATATTTAAAGGGAATTAAAGAATTTAGTCAGCTGTTTCAACTAAAAAAAGTTGGTTCTATGATATACAAAAGCATTAAAAAGTTATAAGATTTACCAACAGAGTGTAGCACAATAGTTTTTTTTTTGCATTTATGTAAACAGCTAACTTTAACTAAGCAGCAGCAAAAAACTGTGATACGCAATGAGAACTCTGTTAAAGTAGGATTGTTTACATTTATGTTTGTGTTTTTAATGTCATGAATAGTTCGTGATTTATTGCGAATTGTTAATAATAGTTTTTTATTGTTTAGGTGAAGTGGTAGAACATTATGGCCCTGGTAGATGTGTAATACCATAGTATACCGTCAATTTAAAAAGCAAATTTTATCAAACTTTGTCCTCCCCCATTGCAAACGCAAAGCTTGAGTATATCTGCAATAAGCATTTTAACCCCGTACGAAGGACGGGTACTCTGCTAGTTAATGAATATTTCCAATTTGATAGTTTCAATCGATATTAGCATAGCCCAGTCTACTACTATTTATTGAAAATACGGTCAAAATCCGTTACGTGCCAACAACTCTTATTTTTTTTAACCAACTTTGAAATATTATCAGCAGCAGTAAAAGAACCCCATATTTCAGTCCACTGTGCTATCTCAATAGAAATAGGCCTAGCCTACCTGAAATTATCTCAAACCAAAATAGGGTAATATCTCAACCCAAAATAAAACCTTAGAAAAAAGCATAATTACCTATGAAAATCTTCATGAACTTAAAATAAGGCTACAGTCAGAGGACTGGAACTCAGTATATGATGCTCCTGATATTAATACCAAATATGATAGCTTTATAGAAACATTCAAATGTTATTTTGATCATTCAAATATTATTTTGATATCGGCTGCCCGAATAAAAAAAACAAAACTTAATCTCAGTCGCAAAGGAAAAAAATGGATGAACAATGAGATAATAGCTGCAAAGGAAAAAATATTTCAACAATACTCTGTATGGAGGCTGACAGGAATTATCTGACAAAGAATTATACCTAAAGCTTAAAGATAAATATAAAAACAAAATACAGGAAAGTAAAATAAAATGGGGGTAATTATTTAGATGAGGGTGACCAAGCGTTCTATAGTAAGGTATATATCATTAGAAACTAGATTTTTAAGTTACCTGAAAATAATGGTGCAAAAATTTTTCTGCTGCCACAAAAACTGAATTTACTACGATTTTTTGAAGTTTATTTAAATGTTTTATATTAGGAACATTGAATCTGCACTACAATGTTTACACTGTGTAATCGAAGTTAATGGCACAATTCACATTTTTATTGATTGATTATATGCCATTTTAATGTAAATATTACCCTCACAACCCACACTTAAAAAGGTAATTATGTTAATTGAGCGGAGCGAGCGAAGCTCTTATACTACACTCCTGCTTTTGTTTTACAAATACTCCTCCTGAACGGCTGAAGCGATCTTCACGAAATTTAACCCAGTCATAGTACCCAACCATGGGAAGGTATAAATCTGAATTATCAATTATTATCAATTATTTAAGATGGGGACGCCACTTTGTGCGTATTTTAACCCAAATATGAGTGAAGGATGAGTGTAGGATGAGTGGCGCGATCTTGTAGTCCTGTTAGTGACTAAGGCCGACATGTTCCTTAGACACAGCTGTTAATTAATAGCCCATACAGCTAATGGCAACTAAGGGACCTACAGTTTATAGTGGAATCCGAACCACATTGGTACAAATCGGACCATAGGAATTTTCCCTACATGAATGCAAGCTTTTAGAAATTTAACATGGGCCTTATGGGTTAATTGGTTGCCATGACATTATTTGCGAATCAACACTAAAAAGTAAACAAGAGCCTCGACATATGTTAGTCAACAAATCTACCACATTATAAATACAGTACAAAAGAAAAAAATGTGATGAATACTAAAGAGTATCTATCTATCTATCTATATATTAATAGGCAAGCATGTTTCTTTAAAACCTTTTTTCTCAGCTCATGTGCATCGCAGGGAAAATCTACGCATACTGTTAGAAAGATATTTGCCTGTAGATGTGCAGAATCCCTTTATAAATTAAAATAGGCTAAAAAATAAGCACAAAAAACGAATTTGAAAACTTCAAAAAATTAACATGGACCAACTGGGTTGCCATGATGGTGACGAAATAACAACAAAATGTAAACAGAAAATCAAAACAATTGGAGGAAATCCCAATCACATGTTTTATTTACAGTGTGGGGAGAAAATATAGTAGTCTGTACATTCATTATTTTTGGTCGAGTTTCGACCACAGGACGACCACTAGTATTAGTTAATTGCATGTAATACGAATTGATTAACAATCAGTTCTATATTGAGTGATTAAAATCATGACGTTTATATTTAATTGTATAATCGTTATGTTCTTTTTAACAAGTTAAGTTGGAAAAATATATAGGTTCCAGCTACTAGGAAAAATAAGGTTTCAAGTTAAGCAAACTGCTTATTTTGATGTTATTATAAAAGTAATGAAACATACCAGTAAACCAATTCCTAAAGTTTTCACTTATTCTTTTTAGTCTACATTATAGTCGTATTGATAAATTTTACTGCACCAAAGGGAAAATTTGAAAGTGGTTGACAATATATTTCTTACTTTTAACTGCTAAAATAAAACTAGACCTAAATTATATGTCTATACTTAAAAACGAATTGATAATTTTAAAAATCGATTAGCCTATCTCAATTATTCGCTGTTAGGAAATGATTACCACAAAAAGTTAATGTATTTATAAAAAATGCATTCTTATCACAAAATTAAGTTATAAATGTCTAAAAAAAACTGATCAGTGAAGTTAAGAGAAAATCATATCATAACAAAATCAGAAGCAAAATTTTAAGGCCGCCAAGGAGATTCGAACTTGCGATCTCAAATAATAATCGTTATTGCCTTTTAATAATGCAGGTATCGCATAGGTTTACCATGATTCATTTGCAGGATATAGAAATTATTGAGCAGAGCGTAGCAAAGCTCTTATATCATTGACTTTAACTTCTCTTATCATACACTCCTGCTTTTGATTAATAGCATTGAGCATAATTTACTACAAAATGAATAACCATAAGGGTTGCCAGAATTAGGCGAATGCACCATATTGCGTTTGGATTCTGTAAATAACTTTTTCAGTATTTTATGTGAGCAAGACGTGCCATTAATGTAGACTTTGAATATGCACTGCAATTCCTATTTGCAGTCTACAAATAGGAATTCCATTAAGGTGAACCAAATATAACACTCATGCATATGTAATCTTTGCTCATAGTTTCGATACTGCAATTAGACAATTCTTTGACATGAACCCGACGTATCATTTGACGTACTTTGAATAGGTACTGCACATAGACATCCCATATAAGTGAAGCAGAAGTAGGCCTAAGCCAACCATTGACTTCGGATACTGCAATTCGGCATTTTATCTAAATGAACGAAATAAATGGACAATTGATTTAGGATACTGCAAGTAGATTATTCATTTACATGCACCATTGAGTTTGGATACTACAAGTAAACAATCCGTCTACGTGAACCGGACGTACCATTGACTTTAGAATCTGTAAATAGGCATTACATTTATGCGAACCAAATATATCATTGACATTGAATTAATATGCTGGCTCCGCTCAATATTGCAAGCAGACAACTGCATTGTACACCTAGTTTAAGTAGGCTACACATTAACTTATGTATTATTTGATTAAAATTAATTAACATTAATAAACAACTCTAGTTCGGACATATTTAATCTGGATCTGGGAACTGGATTATGAAAATTGAAGAAGGAATTCATTTAGTTCTTCTCTTCACTTAACCGAATGGCTTAGCTTAGGTTTTGACCATGTAACCGTTATGTCCCATAAGTATTTAGTGTAGTGGCAGTTTTAATAAAATGAATAAATATCAAATTGACACTATTCTAACTTAACCTAACCTAACCAAACTTCTCGTACAGTTTAAAATTTGTTTATAAGTTGAAAAACAAAAACTTTTAACAAAGTGCATAAACAGTCTGGAGATAATATAAATTAACACCTCGATTCATTATAACCTAAACTTTACCTTCCTAATCTAACCTAACTTCAAAACACTTAATACAGTCACAAGTCCACATAACACCCAACCTACCCACCTCACATGTCTAAATAAGAACTGAAGTACCCGGTAGTTCATAATCAACTCTCAGTTGAATTTATAAATGCCTCTACCTCCTTGTCCTCTTTGTATAAACTTACTCTTTGTCATATTAGGTTTCTTCTTCTTCCCTAGACGATCCTTTCAATTTCAATCGTTCATGTTTGTGTTGGTCAGTCAATTCACAGTAAAGTTATGGCGACAGAGACCAGCCGACAAGATGCATTACGGTAATAAACTTTAAAAAATCGTAGTAAATTCAGTTTTTGTGGCAGCAGAAAAATTTTTGCACCATTATTTTCAGGTAAAAATCTAGTTTCCAATGATATATAACTTACTATAGAACGCTTGGTCACCCCCATCTAAACAATTTCCAAAATGGTAACACGATTGCATATCCAGCTAAAAAAATAAATCTGAAGACTCTTGGAAGATTATAAACAGCATTAGGCCAAAAGAAAATTCAGACTGTAATAATATTATACTGAATATTTACAGTACCGGTAACAAAATAAAAAATCCTATAGATGTGTGTGAAACCTTAAATGACTATTTTGTTATTAATGTTTCAAAGCTTGTTAACAAGGATCAGGAAACCCATGCATTAGGCCTATCTGGTTTTAGGAGGAATGGCACTGCTGAACTTTGACAATTTCATTTGATTACATCTGCTTAAACTTACCTTTTGGATTTGTTCTCAAAGCTTCCATCTAAACACTCTAGTGGTGTAGATGGAATCAGTATGCATGTCCTAAAATATTGTTGGAAGGAAGTAGCAGTTCTAAACATTCTAAACCTGCGATTCTATTGGAAAAATGGGTATCAATTGGAATCTCAGGACTTGCGCTGAAGTGGCTCACATCCTATATGAGCAACTGATTCCAAGTCACTGAGATAAAAAAAAACACAAATTCAAAAACTGAAAGAAATTCATCAACAAAAAAAGTGATCTCCAATGGCGTCTCCCAGGGATCTGTCCTTGGACCTCTCCTTTTCTTGGTCTACATCAATAACATAACAGATACTGTTCCGCAGGACAGCGTCTACCTCCTTGCGGATGATACAACGTTGTTCGTAAGGGGGACTGACGACGCGGCCCTGGAGGTAGAATCTAATCAAAGAGCAAATGATCTGGCTGACTTTTTTTCTTCATACAAACTCAAATTAAATTCACTAAAAACAGGATAGCCTACATGTGTATCCAAACTGCAAAAAGACAAAATTAAAAAAATAATAGGACTCCAAACCTATTAATTGGAGAGGATCAAATTCAAATTAAAAAACTGCCGACTTTTTGAGAGTGAGATTGGATGATAGAATATAATTGAGCTGGGATGCACAAATAAAAAAACTGGAGGGGTCAATGGCTCAGGGGGTCTTTGTACTTCGAAGAATAAGGACCTTCGGAAACCTGGCTCTCTCTAAACTTGTGTATTTTGGCCTAATAGAACAACACATTTTGTATTCGATCATCCTATGGGGAGCTGTGAAGAAGAATAATGATCAGATCTTTGTTTGGCAGAACATGGCAGTAAGAGCAATCTTGGGCATGCCGCCTCGGACCAGCTGCAGAAATGTTTTTAAAGAACTTGGCTTTCTCACAGTCCCTTCACTTTATATCTATGAATCAGTTTGCTATATAAAATCACAGAACATTAAACCAACTTTTACAAATCACACTTACAACACACGAACAAAGAGCACACATGCAGTCCAACATAAACTCACAAAATTTGAACACAAACCAGATTACATGTGAATGAAATTGTACCAGGCCCTACCGAAAAAATTACTTGAAATTCAGAGCTTAACAAAATTCAAATCAGAATTGAAAAGAGTTAAGCATACAGGACATAGACAGTTACCTTTACGGTGACAAAAACTAGTAGGTATTAAATTTGGTTATTCTTTGTATTAACCCTGACCTGTCCTTAAGGCAAAGGACTACGGACGGAGAGATCATGTATCATGTATCAATTATACTTCTCTAACTTATTTTAACCTATTATTGGTAATAAATAATGAAAATACGGTACAGTATTTAGAAAAAGGTTTTGATCACATGCTTTATACATTTAAGAAAACGCTTAAAAAATAGTAAAATAACAACTACAATTTTTTTAAGCTGTTATAAGTTTTGTTGTTTAGGTTAGAATAGATCTTGGATGACACTGGTTAAATCAACCTTTATATCATTGTTACGACTAAGTCAACAGTGATTGATTACCTGCTGGCGACTCTACAGCGATGTGTCATTTCTCCCAAGAGAGATAAGCAACAATGCCATCGTAAATACCTGGAAATGATTCCATTCTAAGTTAACTTAGCCTAGGCATACTACAGAAGTTGTACTCTGTCATTGAAAAATTCCGTTTTTACTCTTTATTAACTTTATATTAACTTACCAAGTTTTGGAGTTATGGGCATGTAACAAATTTTGACCGACAATATAGATTAATAATCAATATTTTTAACTGGGCCTAAGTTATATCAATTATAAATTGAAACTGTCATAACCTAACAAACTCGCTGATAATGAAATAAATTAATCGAATGATGAAGGTATACTAACTTAATTGAATCGATAACTTAGTTTCAATCGATATTAGCGTAGCCCAGCTAACCACTACGCCAGCTCGCTCCCCCAGAGAGAGCGATGTTATAGGCCTAGTTTACTTTCTCGTGACATCGTTTTTCACAAAATCGTCACAGACGAATCAAAAAGCAGTCACGGTGAAGATGCAAAGTTCTCCAACAATCCTGGAACCAGGTACTCTAACTGCGAAATAAGGTAACCTGAGTGGCTAAAGGATTATGGCTTGTCAAACTGCTGAAGTTCTTCATGTTGACGATGAACCTTATACTTACACTGAAGCCATTAGTTCAGAGGATAGCGCTGAATGGAAACCAGAATGGACAAAGAAATTAAGTTACATCTTTGCTTACACACGGGGCATGAGAATTGACCGAACTCACCCTGGGAAAGAAGACAATAAACAAAAAGGGGGTATACCAAATAAATGATAATCCTAAAGGACGTGTTAACTGTGGTGATCGGGGGAGATTGGTCATCAAAGGATGTACGCAAAGACCCAGTATTGATTACACTGAGACCTCCAGCCTTCTTGTTTTAAATTATAGTAGCGTAGCCTATAGCCTAAACTTAGTTGTCTCAAAATAACTCTTACCTATACTAACAATTTTTTTCCAGGTAATTGCGTTTGATGAACTGAAAACAGACTACAAGAATCCCATAGATCAGTGCAACAGCCTGAATCCTGTAAGTTTAACTGAGCACTCACAAAGTCACTGTTAAATCTAGGCTATATGAGGGCGGTTTTAGCGAATTTCCTTATTTTAAATAAGGGCCATTTTTGTGTTTGAATATGTAGTTTGTACTGACATCATTTGTGAACAGAATGACTTCATTTGTAGCTCTGTAGCTGACAAGTATGCTTTACTATGTGTTTTTGCAATTGTTTAATTCATCAAATCTCCCACAGCGTTTGAGATAGAGTCAGTGATAAGTTTTTTTATAACAAGAAACATATCTGATGCCGACTTTCATCGCCAGATGACTGAAGGCTATAGCCCTAAATGAGTGTGAATAAAGTGTGAAAATGGGGGAGGGGTAGTGGTGAGTGTAAAAATTTCTGTGAAAACCTTTTTCCTTTGTGGCCTTCTGTGAGAAATCCCGGTACTCACTAAAAACACAATGCCTTTCACTGCCATTTTTAAACTCCCTAGTCTATTTCTGCACTTTCCCCGCCATCATTGTTTAGGATCATTAACTTCAGTCGTCTGGTGATGAATGTCAGCATTGGATATGTTTTTGATGGTCAAAAATGTATTGCTGGCCTTATCTCACACGGGGCAGTAGATTCAATAATTAAAAATGTTAAATACACAGCAAAGTGTACACAATAGCTCTGTATGCAAATGTTGTCATTATGTTCACAAATGATGTCAGTACCGTAAGTGGCGAGGAGCTTCGTAGCTGCGTAGAAGCGAAATACGGATCCACACTAAAAAATGGCCCTTACTTAATTACGGCCCTCTTAAAATTTATTAATAAATAGTCATAACCACATACAAATATGGCCTTTTCCGTTACATGACTACCACTGGGCTATGTTTTTTTTTTTAATTTTTTATATAAGATGTCATAATTGCCTACAAATCCTTTAACAGAGTTAGGTTAAGTTCCTCGTTTCCACAATCTCCAGCAACAGCCAATAATGTTTAATATTGTTCATATTAATTTCACTTTTCAATATAGTTCATGTTTAATTGATTGCAACTTGCCAAACACTGCCACTCAACTGACCGCCAGGGTCCAAGCCTAGAGAGATAAGTAAATTCAGTATGCCTATATAACAGCTGGGAAAGTTCCAAGCTAAAAGAATTTGTAATCCTACTAATATTATAAATGAGAAAGTTTGGATGGATGGATGTATGGATGTATGGATGTATGTTTGTGACAAGTGAACGCAAAAAATACTGGTCGGATTGGGCTGAAATTTGGCATGATGATAGCTCACATTCCCGATTAACATATAGGCATATTCTTATTTCAAAAATCCTTTCGGGCTCCGCCCCAGTGGCTCTGGAGTTTCCTATGTTAACCTTATGAGAAATGGAATTATTGAATCTTAACAGCTGTTTCAACTTAACAAGTTGGTTCTGTTCTATGATGTTCAATAGCATTTAAGTTACAAGGATTACCAACAGGGTGCAGCACTATTATTTCTTTTACATTTATTTTGACAACAGCTAATTTGCAACCAAAAGGTGAGTGAGCGTAGCGAACGAACTTCAACCTGGAGGCGAGTTAGCGTAGCGAACGAGCTAACCTGAAGGCAAGTGAGCGCAGCGAACGAGCTCCAACCTAAAGGTGAGTGAGCGTAGCGAACGAGCTCCAGCCTAAAGGTGAGTGAGCGTAGCGAACAATTGAGCCATGCGAACTAGATAATCTTGAAAATTAAGAAGTTAAACGGGGCAAAGCCCGCGGGTTACAGCTAGTAAGTCATAATTGGAATTGTATCTACTTTCTGAATGGCCCCAAAAAGTAATCACCTTTTGAAATTAAGAATAAATAAAATATAAGAATTTTGAAAATCTTATACCATTTCTAAAGCCACATTTAATTACTACATATCAACATGTCATCATGAAGATCTAGGAACTTATCATAGCGATGAATGAGCTTGACGATACCTTTGACTAATGATACAACTAGACATTCCATCCCCATGTTAAAAATGTTACCAGTTCACAAACTGAATCAAAATCGTCGTAGTTGATGTGAGCCACTGACAGATTGTGCACACATTACTAATTTTAGTTGAATACACGGACCGTTTTACCAAGTCAAACTAATGAACAACTTACTTTGAGCTACAACAACTGTTATAACTCACCAAGGTGGTCAGCAACAAAAAAAAAAGTAGCAAATAGAATTGTACACACTAGCGCATTCTGGGACTGGCTTGCACAAGCACAACTAAAGTTCATATTGATGGGATGTTTACTTCAATGTCCAATAGTCAATGACAATACATTCCTTGGAAGATTTCTACCGCTTGTGTATGTCAAAGCTCTAATGCCATTTTAATTTGGTTGTAGCTGGTGATCCCAGAGTATTTGCTGCATCTCCTGTTCAACGTGCTGTTCCTGTTCTCGGGACAATGGTTCTCACTATGTCTCAACATACCACTTATCGCCTACCACATCAACAGGTTAGTCTATCAAACCCTGATGCATTGAGCATCAAGGAGTTTTTCAATGATTGGGCTTACATAAGGTATATATAATCCTGTTATCCTCTCATCTTATCAACACAAAAATCCAAAGTTCAATCAAGACAAGTTTTTAAGGACACACTTTAAGAATAGGTAAATAATCACACTAACGCAGCAAACCTGCAGACTAAGCAAATGTCCATCCTCCTTCAAATTTATTTCCTTTCTTGGGTTTGCTGCTTCACGGAAGATAGTGAGGTGTGTTTTTAAACATGTGAATTTTCAATTTACAAATTTTGAAATTTTCTCTGTAACTATCAACCATACAAAAGTTGAAAAGACAACAAGGAAGGTTTGCACGTGCCAGACTCTGTTTTTTACACATTCAGTTTGTGTGGCTTTGTCAAGGGTGCGCTTTTTCAGTGAAAACTTTGTCTGTGTAAAACAAAGCCATCAAAACAAAAATCGCATATGGCAATTACTAGGTACTTCAAAAATAGTGTTGAAATAGGTTCTGTAAATATCTAAAAACATATTAATTTAACATTATTATTTGAAAAGGTTAATTATCTAAAATGTAAACCCACATCTATTCCTGTAGTAAGAACCCATACTTTAATTAATGATGCACGTTACTACGCAGAATTAACTATGTTGTGTACCTCAATAAGTGGGATTAGAGAAGGATTCAGTGCGAATGCTTTGCATGGGTCGGCTAGTGGTTATTAAATTGTTTATGGCTTTAACGTCTTCCAAAGTCAAACACCTGTTATTTAAGGTAGGTCCCGCCACCAGCTAAGCAAACACATTAGCAAGCTTTACTCATAAACAAAAATAGCATACAAATGTAATAATCTTCTGACCAAAAATAAAATTACATTATTTAGGTCCTCGCCCTACCTTTTGCGGTTTATCATTTAAATAAGATCTATTGGTGATTTCACAGAATCTGAACCTTGGATCTCAGGGCCCGAAGTCCCGTTTTCTACCACTAGACCGGCTGGCTTCCCCCTTACCCTACCTTGGATCCTGTATCTATTTAAATAATCATTTCATGTCGTGCACTTAATCATGACTATCTTTTCATACTACATTTACATGTTAAATCGATACAAAAAAAAAACCCATATTAACATATTATCTCATTTTTCCAAAATCAACAACTTTGTGATTCTGAGATTGCCAAGATAATGAATATTGTCATTTCAGATTAAAGCATTTAAAGAAAAATATTAAGTATTTGGGAGGATCACAAGATTTGGTACCTCGCTTATAACAAAGCACTAGTTCATTTCACGCTTCATTTCAGGTATCGCACCCGGCCAGTGATGTCAGGTCCGGGGCTCTACGATCCAACAAGTATCATGAACGCTGATACTTTAACCAAATGTCAACGGGAAGGTTGGGTCAAGCTAGCCTTCTATCTACTCTCATTCTTCTACTATTTATATGGGTAAGTTGTTTGATAAAAATAAAGTTTTTAACATAAGTTTTTATGTGTGTTAAATATTTTGTCTTGTGCGGTTGTACATTAAAATGGCTTTATAATTTGTATCATTAGTTTTTTTTTTCAAAGCTTCTTTACTCATAAAGTTTAGAGATTTTAGCTATTTCTTCTGTTTATGTTTTTTTGGTGGTGAAACAAAATAACGTTATCTCAACAATAGACACAGTCAATATTGCGAGCAACACATGTTAGGCTTAACATTTTACGCTTAAAAGTTTCTGACTAAGAAATAACCAAAACATTTGGGAGTTTGTTAAGAACTCTTCACAAGAGGCTGGTTGAATGGATTTATCCAATAACATTTTAGAGTAGACTCCTTATCCGAACACCTATAAACTGGCCACCGGTTTAACCAGACTATACTCAGCAGAAGTGACATCTCTTTATCCAGACAATTTTTATCAGTTTAACTGGACTGGGTCGGCAGGAAGTAGGCTGTTACTGAAACGACTTTTCTCGTGGAAAATATTAGCGAACCAGTGATCACGAGCTTAAATACAATGCTCTCCCAAATTTAAGTGAAATATTTTGGTTAGTATTCGAGTGATTTCCGTGGTGTGCACATGTATCGTTAGTCTGTAGGTTACGTTGGTTAACTGAAAAACCTGTTACTCAGTCTGGCATCGATCCGAGGAGTCGGGTTAAGAGAGAGTCTACCGTTTTATGGAGTCAGTGATAAGTGTATTACCGCATTTAAGTTTTATTTTTTATTAATTTTAAAATACGAAATCAACTGTTTCAGAATGATTCACTCTTTGATCACCGTATCCTAGATCAGTTGCCAGCAAGCTTCGTACACAAAAGTGTTCACAGTCGCAGCTCTGCGTCAACAGTGGCCGTCGATGTGTTATGGATTGTTGTTTGTGTTATCGAAAGGCAATTTTAGTCATTAGGTTAAGAGGCAACAGTACTGTTTAGTATAAGTTGTTAACGGTTTAAAGTATAATAAACCTTTTGTAATTTTTTGCTTTGTAATAAACTTATTACTTTTACAGGTATTTCTTGCTATACACATTATACATGTTCCGGGTAAAGTGTACAGCAATGCAAGAAATGTTTAGGTTATAAACTGCTGCTGTCTGTGAAAACATTATTTTGCAACCTCTTCTGTCAGAAATTAATCTTTTACTTGTGTTGAACCATAGATAAAACATACTCCCTTAGTAGATTTCTCATCCGTATGGAACAGCTGCAGCCAATTTTATTGTTAGTTCATGTACGGTTTATGTAGAGGTCGTGTTTTGTTTACAATTTGTTTCCCGTTATTACAGCCATTTAAAACCTCGTTTAACCAAATAATACGATCTAATCATAAACAATAACTTGTCCCCTAGTTATATAACCAAACAGTAAAGCACAAATCAAGAAATTAACCCTAAAATAATGGAAACAAAGTTTCATCGACACTAGCGCCTTTGTGTCACGTACATGAACTATACACGAAAAACGTGCTTCAAAATTTACAATGGGATGAGAAGTCTACTTGTGTTGGTTAGTCTATGGTTGAACTTTCATATGAAGTTATTGTATTTTAACAGTCAATTTTTGATTTAGTAATAAAATTACTTTGATAGAATTTTCACAAATAAGAGTTAATCGTGTGGTTTAATCAAAAGTTTACAAGTGATTCTTAGTAAAAATTGCTTGTACCGCTACTGTATTATCAACTGTTGTTTTACATCTCAAATTATGTTAAAACAAGTATATGCAATACTCAGGGGAAAATTTAATATTTTAAGGCAGTTGATCATTTTGGGATTGGCTACCACTGCCTCTTGAATAACCAAGCTTGTTTCTTTAAGTTCTTTACAGCCAATTTATTTACAATTGGAATTTTCTCATTGTGATAGGCCTATACTAGCATTTTCTGCAAAGTATTAAGCCTCAGATTTCCCCACGTGTCATTTTTTTGCTATTGCTAGAATCTTTCTCATTTTATGCTTGTGATAGTATATTACAGCAAAGTCCAGAAAGTAGATGTTAACGGTGCGAGCATGATTGTTTCCATTTCAAGTGAGAGTTTCCGTTTTATTATGCCTTTAAAGAAGTAGACAGTAGACAACAACCCCTTTCTGTAAAAAAAAACTTTCTAGTCTGTGAAGAGACCATAAATCAGCTGCTTTCTTTGTAGTGCGGTAAAAAGGATTTGAATACAAACTTTTGGCTTTCAATTCTGGTAATTTTTGTAACAGTATACAATAAATAATTAATACGTCATATTCAGATGGTAAATAGTGTATACTATAAACTCTTCTTAGCATCATTCTTATTCCATCATAATATTATGGAATCAATAATTACGATAAAAAAACTGTGTAAATGTTGTTTAGGTTCTCATTGCATTACACCCTCTTATAAAAGATAAAGGTCTCATAATGCTTTATATTTGTATAATTATTTTTAAAGCTAAAATGGATCTTCTCTCCATGTTATATGTATCCAATTTTTAATATTGGTTAAAGTATGTGATGCTATTTCATGAGGTTGTATGTTATATGTGGCATTAATTGTATTAAAATTGTCGGTTGGATTAATATTTAGATTTAAAATTTATTTTCTCCTAATTACAGTTTTGCTAGTGCCAGTAGTTATTAAATGTTTTCGAGATTAAATATGAGATTAATTAACTTCATACCAAAAAAGAAGGACTAATTTTATTCAATTCTAATTTTGTTTTAACAAATAAGGGTATAGTTTTATTTAACTTGACAATTTTTGCATGCATGATAACGATGTATTCGATAACTAAGTCTTAATTTTCTGTTAGGAATGTAATTCCTGTTTTCAACCGTTTCTTATTATCGACTAGTTTTAATTCTCTCATTATTAACAAGTATTACAAGGAAATACAAGTCTGTGTACAAGAAAACTTTTTAAATCCAATAAACATTTTTCAATAGGTAGTTCAATTGATTTATTAACTTTCTTTGAATAAATATTTACGTTTTGTAATGAAACCTATTGAAAAACAAGTATGAGAAGCAAATTGTCCTCTAAGTATGCAATACAGTGTCCTTTGTTCAAATAAATTTTGTATTATGATATGTGATCAATCTTATTTCAAACCAATAAGAGGTACAATCTCATCAGAGTGATACACATCCTGTTCCCCCTTGGTTTATCTTAGAATATAGGTAACAATCAGATTTCTCCATATTCTATCCTTCCTCAGTTCTTCTTCTCCCTTCGCTTACCATCTCATCTGATGGTTACCATCCCATCTCTCCATCATTCTTCTTTTTCCTCATATCTATCTCATTTCCTCTCTCACCATCACCTCAAGTACCTAGGAATTCCCTCATATCGACTAAAATCATCTCAGTGTCACCTTTTTCTATTCTTCCTCCAAGGCTGCCTTCAGTCATCCCCTATGCTGATCTCTTCAGTCTTTACTCAATACCACTTTGTTTTACAATAATAGCACTAAATTGTACTTTCTACAATAAAATTGCAATAATGTCGTAAGAGCAAAGGCTCGCTTAGATTTCCCTTAATGTTTTGGGTTCAAAAACTAAGCTAGTTGCAAGCTCTATTAACTGGTTCTGAAAATAAATATTTAAAAAACTCTTTTTAATTGTAATTGTGCACACAAGCACATCTTAAAGGTCAATGTTCTAATCTAATCATCTTATCTATTCTAATGTCCTTAAAGGTCAATGTTGCTTTTATGGTGCAAAGGTCTTGTAAAATTATGCAAAGTGCTTTGAAAAAGGATTAGAGTAAAAAATATACTAGTATTAACCCGCTTAGTGCTACAGTACTCTACCCACATTTAATGTTTGTAAAAAATTGGTTCCTGATTATCGGATGGGATCAGATTTAATTCAGGATTATTTGTTCCAACCGTGAGAGATTTCATTGTGAGTGATATTCGGGATGGTGACACTATCCTGAGAGACGGTGATGGTGTCTTAGTGATCATGGGAGAAAATCTTCAACATCAGTTAACAAAATCAGGACGATTGTGAGATATATTCATGACCACGATCTCAGGACATATTCACGATTTTGCAACTAATGCGGGAAACAATTACGGTGTCTCCGTGATCGCGAGAGATGTTCATGATTTTTACGGATCACCATGATGATGTCTTCGTGATTGCGTGTTTACAATGATGCCACAAATCCAGGAGACAATGGTGATGATATCTGCCTGACTGTGGGATCTGTCCACGATTTTATCACAAGAGATGTTCAGAAATTATTTTCAGATTTTAAGAAATATTAGACTATTTATTTTTGCCAAATAAAAAATATGTTGATGTTTTTCATAAAACATTAAAGCTGTGTTTACACAAGGCCAGCAGACCAGGCAAGTTACTTGCCTGTAATGTATTTCAAGTTACCTACATGCGCCAAGTTAACTGGCTTCATGTAAACACAGCTATTAGTACAGTAAAAATATGTTTTGACCCCAAAAAAAATTAGCACAACCGGGGAATTTGGTACAGATGTTGGGTGTACCTTCCTTTTGAACATACTAAAAGTCCCCTAAAATTGAAGCTGTGCTACGGCCGCCATATTGGAAAATGGCGGCATATTTCTGTATTTTTCGCTATAGTGACTTTATTATTAGAGATACAGGAAAAAGCTAAATGTACAAAATGTAGGTCATCTAAAAATACACATTTTTTGTATTTACCATCTTTCTCTAAACCCAACGGTTTTTGAGTTATTTGTTATTAAGTATATTTAGTTTTTTCTATTTATCAAAAATAGGTGAAACACATGGAAATTGACCGTTACTTTCAAGGATTATGATCATTTATCCTATTTAGTTAAATAGTGTGATACTATAAAATCTAAAAATTTAAGCTTATTTTATGAATAAAAAAACTCCGCCACAGCAAACCTGCAGACTCAGCAAATTTCCATTTAATTAGATGTTTTATTAAAAATGTATATAAATAAAATTAGGTTCAATAGGTACCTAGGTTTGCTGCTACAGGTAGGTTAATATAGTGTGTTTTTTTAAGTAAAATATACCTATAACCTTACTATAAAATAACTAATTTTCCAAGTTTGATCAAAATATATCTATAAACAAGCAAACTGCAACAGTTAACTAATTCATAAGAATAGCATGGGAGTTTTAAATTTACAATAAACAAATATTTGAGTATACAAATGTTGGTCGTGTTTACTAAAAAGATGGCGAATGGTCACGATTAGAATAACCAAATGGGTTTTCAAAAGGAGATGGAGCCTGTTATTTAAGTAATATTAATTCGTACCAAGCACCGAAAATATTGTATGCAGTAAGGTAATCTACCATATTTTGTAAAGTACGCAATAGTCATATTAATATTTTATCTTCATTTTTTACCCATTTAATAGTTAACATTTTAGTATTTTGATGGCACCACCACACTAACTAACTATACTTGACATCCCATTGTAAATTTGGAAGGGTGGTTTTCGTGTCTAGTTCATGTTGGTGACTAATTAAGTATGGTATAGTATAGTTAGTTTTATTTATCAAAAATCGGTGAAACCCATCGCAATCGACGGTTACTTTCAAGGTTTACGACAATTATTCATCCCACTTAGTTGATATCAGAGTGATAGTGGTAGTGCCATCAAAATATTAAAATGTTATTTTATTAAATGGGTAAAAATGAGTATAAAATATTATTGCGTAGTTTACAAAATATGGTTGATTTCCTCACCGCATACAATATTTCCGATACTTTGGTACGAGTTAATATTACAGTACTTAAATTACTTGCTTCATTTCCTTTAGAAAACCCCTTCGGTTAGTATTCAAAACTTGATGAATAATCGCCATATTTTTAGTAAACACAACCAAAATTTGTATATTTAAATTTGTAAATTGTAAATCTTAAGCTACCATGCTATTATTATGAATTAGTTAAATGTTTCAGTTTGTTTGTTTATAGATTATTATTTTATGATAAGTTATTGATATTTTACTAAAAAAAAAACACACACTATAATAGCATACCTGTAGCAGCAAACCTAGGTACCTGTTGAATCTAATTTTATTTAAATACAATTAATAAAACATCCAATCTAATGGAAATTTGCTGAGTCTGCAGGTTTGCTGTGGCAGAGTGGTTTTACTCATAAAATAAGCTAAAATTTTAAGATTTTATAGTATTACACTATTTAACTAAATGGGATAAATTATCATAATCCTTGAAAGTAACGGTCAATTTCCATGTGTTTCACCTATTTTTGATAAATAGAAAAAACTAAATATACTTAATAACAAATAACTCAAAAACCGTTGGGTTTAGAGAAAGATGGTAAATACAAAAAATGTGTATTTTTAGATGACCTACATTTTGTACATTTAGCTTTTTCCTGTATCTCTAATAATAAAGTCAGTATAGCGAAAAATACAGAAATATGCCGCCATTTTCCAATATGGCGGCCGTAGCACAGCTTCAATTTTAGGGGACTTTTAGTATGTTCAAAAGGAAGGTACACCCAACATCTGTACCAAATTCCCCGGTTGTGCTAATTTTTTTTAGGTTTATGGAATTTTTATCTTATTTTTACTGCACTATATAGGGTGTAGAGATATGTTAGATGACTGCAGTAACCTGAGATAAATCTCCTCATACATAGTTCTCTATAGACGGGAAAATAAAACAACCAAGCTGTCAAGTAAGTTTGTATTTTAAAATAGTTTACCTTGCATTATATATACAAGAGAATAATACTAGGTAACGAAAATGTCATGGCAATGTACTGTTGATAAGTATTGTCTAAATAAATTGTAAATCGGCGAATTAAGACCATTGAGCATAATAATACTTTGAAAACAATTCAATTATAATAGTGAAAACAACACTGGTAATTTATCAAAATCCAAACTTAAATCAAGAGAAAAATATGGAATGTGACTAGTTACAGGTTAGTTCATGATAACTTATAAAACTAAAAATGCCCTAGTTGCTTATTTTAATTTGTACATAATTATACCCTGACAACTGTTAAATACTTGAATAATTGAAGCCATGGTGTGATTCAGATATATAAAAGATTCTTCCCAAAATAAAACAGTTAGGTTAAACATTCAACAAACCTAGACTAGTGTGATAAATTCCAAATTCAGCTTTAGTTCAAGTTAATAATAATGCCTAATAACTTAGATTTTTCACATTATAATAGTAAACAACCATTTTCATCACACTGTATTTCAGTAGGCAAACAATTACAAGCTAAAAAATAAAATAAAAAGCTTTTGATAACGATAAAACTTGCAGCAAGCAGTAAAAAATGTGCACAATGTTATAGAAACATATCATGGATATTGATTTTATGTATTGTAGTTTAATTGTTATTTATTCGACACCTTGATACTATTATAATTGTCTTAAATCTATCATTCATTAAAATATTTACGACCAGTTTTTGTACTGTAGATTATTTTAATTATTGAATAGATAGTACAAATTGGCTTGAGGTAAATAATGTCTCTACTTATATACCATAATAATTGTTTCAATTAACCCTCCAGTACACACGCCGCAGACTCAAGAGTCTGTACATTTGAAAAAGCACCCTGAAATAAGTGAATCTGCAAGCGTGCCATCTACCTTCTCCCACTACCTTTCCAAGTACAATGGCAATGTTTTGACAATCTTAGCGTTAGTTGGCTCTTAGAGGGTGTAAAGCTAGGCTCGTCATGTTTCAAGAGGATGAAGAACAGGGCCAGCGATTGACTGATTCAACAGGACAATTTAAATTTGTAATTATTTTGAAATTTATCTATATCTATTAACATATATTTAAATTATTTGAAATTTTGATGCTATATGAACTTTATTAGGTACATAAAAGAGTGTTTCTAGTAAGAAGTAAGACGTGGGATTCCAGTCCGAGCGCGTGTACTGGTGTTACTATTAGCCGCGCCTGTACTGGGGGGTTAAACGTTTGTACACTTTAATTATATATTTAGAATGGTTCAGGAAAAAAATGTAGATTTCACAATGGATGATTAATTTCAATAATAAATTATAAAAAAGAATAGTTGCGTTACTTTGGTGTGGTTAGTGAGAAAAAATGTATTTTATTCACAAGTACACTGCAAGCTCCAAATCTGAAGAATGCAGTTTTAGGTCAAACATGAAATAAGTAACATTTAAAAATTATTTTTTTTTTTATAATTTAAAATCTTTAATTTAAACCTGAATTCCAATTCATAACTTTTCCAAAATAATCCCACCATTGATAAATCTTTCAACAAATAAAATTTCATTATTATTTAAGGCAAATAAACTGCCACAAAACTAGATCATATTTTTAAATGAAAGTTATAACATCATAAATTGAATAGTTCATTTACATTAGTTATAAACAATTAGGCTTCTTCTGGTAACATAAACATATTAGAAATTAGAATATAAGAGATCACATAAACTGTACAACAATAATCAGTATATGTATTATAAAAAGTAGCAAATATTATATAAAGTTATTGATTATAATCACACCTAATCTACACAAATATAAAATGTGTACAAAAACCAAGGTCTTTGTCTTTTACAGAGGTAAGATAATATCATGGGAAGGATGGTCCCAAAATGTTTGCGAGCTCGCCATATTCAGAATATTGATTAGTAGTGAATGTAGGGTAATTGACAATTTCATTATCAGTCCAAAATTTTAAATTGCAATTTAACTAGATTTTTGAGCTAATAACTCTTTAACAGTCTTCAACTGCAGAGAAAAATAAAAATAAACATTTTAATTAAAAACGTGAATCTTGTGAGAGAAATACATAGATTAAAAAAATCTATTGTCATGTTTTAGCTCTTTCTTGTTCCTTTATAAAAAAATAAATACATTATACAAAATTAGTTTAGGATTGTAAAAGGATTACGTTTAGGATTGTGTTTAGTTACGTAGAAGGATAGAAGTTTTTCATAACTTATTTGTGGGTAAAATATACAAATGGATGATAGAAGATTTCCTTATTAATCCTTGTACAGGTAGTTACAGCTAAGCTACTTGGGTCTGGCGCGCCTCGGTGTGACAGTGTAGGCGGGGTGGGTGGAAGCTAGGCAATGATCTTTCTGCAAACATTCCTCTGCTGACCAGGGCCGGTTTAACCCATACGCGAACTACGCGGCCGCATACGGCGCCACGAAAAAGTGGCGCCAATGGAACAATTTTTTTTACGTGAACAACGTCATTTTGTTTATTTTCGCTCAGAGTCCAAGTATACCACAATAAAGGCATTTATTCTGTTTGTACCAACAGCACTTGAAAAATGTGTATATTTGTACAGCACTACAACTCAAGGACTCGATGCCATTTGCAGTTTCGATTTATAGTGAGCTGACGCTTGGCAGCGTACGGCGCGGCGCCGGTGGGTTTCATTTCACGACTCACTCATACTAACTAGAGATAAGCAAGCGCGCAGCGCCACTGGTCACAACAAGAAACTTTCCCCTCCCTTCTTTCTCTTATCCTAGAGCAGAGCATTACGTTGTAGTTGTACTGCACTCTTTTAGTTTTATACGTATCGGTATCGTATTGGCGTTGTTTTGATGATTCATGATTGTTGATAAGTGAATGATTACGAGTGTTTTAAGTTTAATCTATAATTAGCGCATTAAATAAGAAGAAAGTATAAACTGAATAAATGAGTAAAACATTTTGCGAGCCGATACTAAGAAAACAATGGCAGAAACAAAGAAAACGTCTGGCACTTATTATAGAAATCGTAAGGCGAATTTGGAACAGGAAGATAAAAAACAAGCCAAATCAATGTGTAGGTAGATTTTTGTTGAAATCATCTGGTGGCGAGTCCAGTAAGCCCAAAGAAGTCACGATAGAAGACGGCAATGACGTAGGTATTTATTTATGTATTTCCCAAGGAAAGATTAAAACAAGCAGCTGATCACAAACGGCAAAAATTACGTCATTGCCGTCTTCTATAGTGACGTCATGCTTGACGAACATGACGGCCTGTTTTTTTAGGGTGGCCTTGGTTTTGCTAAAGTTTATATGATGAGTAAAAGTGTAAAAATGTTAAATTTCTGCGAATAATAAACAATCTTATATTGCAAGTATTCTTCTAACTTAAACTTCTAAAAAAATTGTTCCCTATAGTATTGGGGAATATTTACAAATACGGTTAAGTTGTGTTAATGGTCGGGGGGGGGGGGGGGGGTGGTGGGGGGAATCCTAATTGGCGCTGATTCGGGTGTTCGCTTAACTCTGAAAAATTCCTAGAACCGGCCCTGCTGCTGACTCACAGGGTTGGTGCCTCAAAACGATGACTAACATTATACTACACTAATAGGAGATGGAAAACCAAGGTGAATTCCTAAACACTCTTTTTATTAGTAAGTCGTCAGCTTTGCTAGCATCACAGTGGTTTTTGAATGTGTGTTTTTATAGTGTAAAGAATATTGTTTGTAATTAAAAATGGGTAAGCTTAAATTGATTAATAATTTGCATTGCAGAAATTTTATAAAAGTGAAAGTGTTCAACATACTAACTTTTAACTAATGTAGACATCATTAATAGCATTCCGAGCTTTTCATCCATTCCAGCGCCTTCACGCGGGACAGTTGATGCTACCCGCATGACTGCAGACAATGTTTTTGACATATGCTAGTAGAGAATTTCTATCGATCGGTCAAGTGCAAGCTTAGCTCGAACTACCTGTACATTGCTACTTGTAACTAAATTTTAAAAATATTTAAGGTTATGTTGCTATATGGAATTCAAAACACCATTATGTTGTTTTTGTACCCATACGTTTTATTTCATTGGCGAGCTGCTTATCAGAGTGGCCATCTTACTTGCTGAGTTTCTCTTTGAGCCACTCATCCGTTAGTTCGTCCAACTCACGAACCTCGTAAACTCTGGTCAAGTCTGCTTCTTTCTGCAGCGCGAGCTTAGTTCCGGCATACATCACTTGCAAGTCTCGCTGACTATCTACAAAACAAGAATTACAATTTTATATATTGTTTACTATTACCTTTGGTTATGGATGAACCTTGATATTCCATCGTCAAAAAAAATTTGTAGCCATTCCCAGTTTTAGAATAGAAAAATTATCCTAGTAGAATAGAGCCACTGACAAGGTGCCGAGGGAAATAGCTGATTTTTGTTGATCACGGCAACATTTTAACTAAGCACTGATACGACAACTTATTGTACACAACAATATTTTTATACTAAAAAAATAACACAAACTAAGGGGGGGAAATTATGTTTAAGCATTGTTTTAGACTATTGTACAATCTGTGAGTGGCTCAATCAGCTGATCTGGGTTGACATTATTTTCAATAAGAATTTGGCTACAGCTGGTTCAAACAGATGGGACCTCTACTTCAATAAAAGCCACTAATATACAGTGTTTTTTTTTGTTTTTTTTTTACTTTTAAGCTTCAAACAACCATAAAACCTTGATTTTCTTATTCTATCAAATAACAATCAAAGTCTAGGAAATAATTCCAAGTTTTGGTGCATATGATAAGAAGTTTCCATTAGGTACTTCAATGTGCTTTCTATTATTTGCACGCAAATAATCAAGTCTAAATTCCAGTTTGGACCAAACATGACCTCAAATAAGACAATTTATTCCAGCAAACGCTCTCTTGATTTGTTCTCTGATTTCTTTTTTGGTGTTCATTTAATTGGCATAGACACAATCCTTGACAAAGCTCCGCACAAAAAAGTCACACAGGGTAATATCTGGTGACCTAGGAAGACAAGTGGCCCATAACGGCCAATCCAACGGTTTGGGAATAACCTATCCAGACAATCTCAGACAAAGTCTCTCCAGTGCGGAGGAGCACTGTTCTGTTGAAAAATCATTCTTTTGTAATCCTTCTAGTTACGGAAAAGCAACATTCTTCAACATATCAATGGAAACGTTTCTATTCATTGATGATGTTTCCAAACACGGGGCGTGTTTAGTCCAAACTGGAATTTAGACTTAATTGTTTGCGAGCAAATAATGAAAAACATATTGAAGTTGAGAAAACTTCTTTTAATGTACAAAAACTTGAAACAATTTCCCAGACTTTGATTGTTATTTCATAGCTTTAAGTGGAGAAATAAAGGTTTTATGGTTGTTTGAAGTTGTGTAGTTTATTTTTATTTTTTTATAAACACCCTGTAGTAGGCTGTTATCAATTAATTACATTAACAAATTAGATGTTTCAATTTAAACACATGTAAATACAAGATAATCATTACAAAGTGTATGCTACAATTAGATCTCAGTAATCCAGCAATCCAGAAGGTTCAATAATTTCAAATCTGTCTAATTAGGGCTATACACAGAATAAGCCAAGCAGACATTTTCAGCAGAGACAATTGGCTTGAGGTCAGGCATACTCGACATATAATGGTGTCGGTGTCACAGCCAATGGACTAAATACCAATCAATGGCTTCGATGCTCTAAACAAGCAGTATTTCTTTACCTTATGTAGTGTTGTTTGGTTAAAATAACGTCACAAGAGTTTACCTTAAAAGCGCATAACAGTTATTTTTTGTATCTGTTAATCTCTGAACCGCCCGTAATACCTAATCGTAATCATGAGCAATAATATCACAAATCCTCTAGGTACAGAAATGCCACAAATCGGATCTTGGTTCTCCTGTTGTTACTGTTTTTGTCTGCTTTGTTACCTCACAATTGCAGTTACATTTTAAAATACCCCCGCCGCAGCAAACCTGCAGACTAAGCAAATTTCAACTTATCTGATTACAATTTTACTAAAATATTTCCATAAATAAGACATATTTATTCCCAATTTAAATAACATTAGATTTAATGAGTGTTTAGGTTTGCTACTACGGGGAAGGTAAAAAGTGTTTTTTGACCATATGTCAATAGTATAGGATGAAATAAATAAATTTGCCAAATTTTATCAATATATATCCATAAACAAGTAAACTACAACAGTTCTCCATTCATTTTCTCCACAAGAATAACTTTGGAATTTTCAATTACACTATTTTTTTATTTTCTCTGTGACCGTTAGGCATACAACAGCGCTTCAATATACTAAATTATTTCTTTTTTTAAGCTCTACAAAACGGTTTGAAAAGAAATTCCAAATTTTTTTGTTTTTAGGGTCAAAAATGGGAAAACCCAATTTTTACCCCATAAAACCCCTGATCCCATGGTTCGATTATGCTGGTTCGCGAACTCGTTCAAATAAACGTAGACACGTTTGTACCAAATTTCATCAAAATTGGATCATTTTTTCTTGAGTTATCGCGCTAACGGACATGTATATATATATATATATGAATTTGAACGGATGGTGTTTTTTGGCCTCTAGGGACCTCAAAACAAAAAATTAAATCGGTCCCCGGTCCAGGTCTTACAATGCGTACTACGGTAATAGCCTATTCCCTGTATGGGAAATTCGCTAAAATCAGGTTAAGGGCTTTCTTCAGGTTAAGGGCTTTGGATAATCTTCCAAGCAATTTGGTTTTAAAAATTCCTCATCACGTCAAAATCTCTTCTGCACTAATTAGGTTTAAAGCATGCTAAGTTAGGATAGTTTAATTTTATTTTAATAAAATATGTTTGTAATATGAAAATTTGAAGTCACTGACCTATTCTAACCTGACCCAACTAATAAAAATTGACTTTCTAATGTAACCTAAAATTAATAATAAATTTAATCATTTAAAATAGGGGTGTTTTGAAAGCGCAAGATCGGCGGGTTTGTTCAAAAGTAACGGAAATAGTTACCCAATAATCTCGTGATGGTTGTGAAATCTCCCAAACATTACATCAAAGGTAACAGGAGCTGTTATTCCGCATTTTAGAATACAGACGTTTGTATATCAACTGAATGTTGTAGGCTTTTTATTGGAATGTTATAATTACCTTGGGGAGTGATGTATATGAAAGAGAGAGGGTAGGAGATTCGGCCATCACTGTGTTCCATTTTGTTGCTGTAGACAACGTATCGTGGCTGGTGACCAGGTAGAATGTCTCTCAGGTCGTCCAAACAAGTGTCCTGATTCAGAAAGTTTATTTTGTAAATTTGAAGAACAGTGATTAAATGAAATGAAATAAAATTGTCTCTATTCTTTGTGTGCAAGTTAGAACATGAATAGTGTGAATACAACTTGTTGCAGTAATTTTTAAACACTTATGGAGCTTCACTACAATAGGCTTTTGATATTACAAGCAATACAACTCTCATAATGCACTTCATATAATAACTGTTATCTTTCAATTAAAGTATGGGATCAAAGATTCCTAAAAATAGTCATGTGGAAATATCCACAGCCTTTAGTGATTATAGGCTTAAAACACTTTTGGATGAGTAGCATGATACTAATTGAGCTTAATTTTATCTTGTTGGAACTAATTCAAGTCTTCAAAAATGTAGGCCTATTAACTTATGTTTTTAGCAGTACATCACACTAACATATTGAAAAAAAACTGGGCAACATGAAAACAAAACCCTAAATAATAATTACCTCCACCATAGAGTCAATGCAAATCTTCTGTTTCTCTCGATCGACTTTCACTGCAACAATTAGATAAGTTAGTTTACCAGATGAGTGTTCAATTGTGATAACAATAAAACATATGTATTTAGTACTGTATTTTGGTGGGGTTGCTAGCCCATTGGTAACCGCTCTTGGGGCTTTAAATAAATGATCCTGACTAATGAAACCGCTGATCTTAGTCAGTAACAAAGCTACACAGGTCATCACACACCATTCTACACTCATCCTTCACTCATATATGGGTTAAAATACGCACCTAGGTGGCGTCCCCATCTCAACAATTGATAATTGATAATTGACTTGGGAGGGATGGGTTCAATTCCAGGCACACCACCACTACACTTTAATGGGTTTGGGCAGCTTTCTCTTAAAAGTGTTTACACTACAATTTTGACTCAATTAAAAATACTGTCATAGGAAAAAAGAAAGAAGTGCCTACGTAAAAACAATGATAATTTCATAATATTTCAAAATCTAAATAGGCTACATGGTCAAATAATATAGCATTCATCTGTGAACATTCTTAGAAAAACTTATTCATGTATGAACCCTCTATAGACACAATATTTTGCCATATCTTAATTTTAATCTAAATTAGGACTGGTTTCATTGGGATAATAAAAAATTTGCACAATAGGTAGGATTTTTACTGAAATTCAGAGTCTTTGAAAGAAAATAGGACGAGTCATACCTATAGCTTTTACTATTTCGATCACAGAACACGTCTGCATCAATTTCGCGATCGGAAAATCTACGCTTTTGCCGCGATTGCGGCGTTCAATCATCATTTTCCGCGACCACGGGAGACAATGATGGTGTAAACCCGACCGTGGGATATAATATACAGTAGAACCTCTTAAATCCGAACCCCTGTAATCCGAACACCACATTGCTGTACTCTATACACAGAAGAGTAGTTCTTCATTGGATACTGTATTTATTGGTATACACGCCTTAATTGTTTCTATTGTAATGTACAGTAATGTTTATTCCCTATGTTTACTATTGTATTAAGTAAAGACTGTATTTTAATTTATAAAGCATTTTTCACTTTTCCCTAGCAATTTTTATGTAAATCAACAATATGTTCTGTAATCCGAACTATTCAATAGTCCGAACTATCCTCGGTCCCAATTAGTTCGGATTAAAGAGCAAGAGGTTCTATAGTACTGTATGATGCATTACTTTTGGTAAAATAAGTCTATTGTGAGGTTCATCCAACACTTCTTCATTAGGCTAAGCTAGACATATACAGTAGAACTCCAAAATTGTCGAATCTCCAACTATCCAAATCACCAATCATCCGAATTTCTTACAGAAATAATTTTAAAATTTAAAACCACAGTAACTTAATAAGAATTGTAATTAACAACGTAATAGTTCACTAACAACTTAGGTAACAATCTATCTATATCCATACTAATACATACAAATGAGATTGTGTACGTTTGTATGTCTGTCTGTTACTTAGGCAGGGTGCACACTGGAGAAACCCGTTTCAGGAAACTGGTTTCATCAAATTGGTTTCAAGGAAACCATTTCTGTAACAAATGCACACAGAAGAAACGGGATTCCATCAGTTTCGTGATATTAATTCGGATGACGATGATGTGACTATATTGGTGGTGGCTAAAGAAAACGAAAAGAAGGAAGTATTGGGTTGACCCGTTGATTAGGGATGGTCAACACAGTACTTACATTGTAGCTCGTTAATTATGCAGTGATCCTGTCAAATGTTTTAATTTTTTTGAATGCCAAAGCCTCTTTTTGAACGTTTGCTGGAATTACTTAGCCCACTAATAACAAAGAAAGGCACCAACCGGAGGTTAGCTCTGAGTGCTGAGGACAAATAACAATACACTGAGGTAGTCAATAAAACCAATAGAAACGTGAAACTGAAGCCTATACGAAATCTGTTTTTTGGATTTCATGTAAACCAGTTGCAAGAAACAGATGAAATTACAGTTTCATGCAACGCAGTGTGCACTGCCCTGTGTTAAACTAATCCATCTGTTGCGAGCAACTAAAGTTTCTCGTTTCATGAAATCGGTTTCTTGAAACGGATTTCTCCAGTGTGCACCCTGCCTTAATCACGCAAGAAACACTGAACCAATTAAAATAAAATTAAGAAATAATGAATTAGGGGGTTAAGAAAGGGTTAACATATAGGCCTATTCCTGTTATTATATTTCCCTTGAGCTACGCCCCATGGGCTTCCAAAGTTTCAATGTTTACATTTTGGAAGAATGTAAATAGACAAAAATATTAAATGAAGTCAGATGTAAATACTACTAGTAGTACGCTTATTCTGCACGTAACAGGATGAGTGAACATGAGCGCAATAATGAAAGAGTTTACCCACACCTAGCACACTTACCGGTGTCACTGGTGTACACAATAATGTTATTTGTATGGGCAAATCGACCCATGAGTCGGGGCAAATAATGGTGAGTCGGTGACTCAAGTCGGTAGCGTCACGCGAACTTCCGGCCCAAGGCAGCGATGTCGTGAGTTCGGATCCTGGTCACTGCCACTAAATTTTATCAGTACAATTCACCTTTGTACTGTACCGGCTCACCAATTGCTTTGCTGTAAACGATCCACGCACGGGCGAGGTTAAAAGAGGCTGGACCAACCTCTTAAAAAAACCAAATCTCAGTCAACAACAATCCTAACTTCTCGTCCATTAATTAACCAAAGTCATTGGTAATATACGTAACTTTTTTTCTGTTTCCCTCTCTTCTCATAGCATTTTATTATTGCAGATACGTTAATCTAACTGTCACAAAGAGTTCCCACACTCTGGACTGTTCACCTTGACTACTTCCTTTACCACTTCCTACGTCGTGGACCTGTTTCCCTCTCTTCTCATAGCATTTTATTATTGCAGATACATTAATCTAACTGTCACAAAGGGTTCCCACACTCCGGACTCCTCGCCTCGACTACTCCCTTCACCACTTCCTACGTCGTGGACCTGTTTCCCTCCCTTCCCATAGCATTTTTAGAATTGCAGATACTGTACATTATTCTAATTATCAAAAAGGGTTTCTACACTCCGGAATGCTCGCCTCAACTATTTCCTTCACCACTTCCTACGTCGTAGACCTGTTTCCCTCCCTTCCTATAGCATTTTAGAATTTCAAATAGATTAATTTAACTTTCACAAAGGGTTCCCACACTCCGGACTGTTCACCTTGACTACATCCTTCACCCCTTCCTACGTCGTGGACCTATTTCCCTCCCTTCCTACAGCATTTTAGAATTTCAAATAGATTAATTTAACTTTCACAAAGGGTTCCCACACTCCGGACTCCTCGCCTCGACTACTCCCTTCACCACTTCCTACGTCGTGGACCTGTTTCCCTCCCTTCCCATAGCATTTTAGAATTGCAGTTACATTAATCTAACTATCACAAAGGGTTTTTACACTCCAGAATGCTCGCCTCGACTACTTCCATTACCACTTCCTACGTCGTGGACCTGTTTCCCTCCCTTCCAATAGCATTTTAGTATTGCAGGTATATTAATCTAACTGTCAAAAGGGTTTCTACACTCCGGACTGCTCGCCTCGACTACTTCCATTACCACTTCCTACATCGTGGACCTGTTTCCCTCCCTTCCTATAGCATTTTAGTATTGCAGGTATATTAATCTAACTGTCACAAAGGGTTTCTACACTCCGGACTGCTCGCCTTGACTACTTCCATCACCGCTTCCTACGTCGTGGACCTGTTTCCTTCTCTTCCTATAGCATTTTAGTATTGCAGGTATATTAATCTAACTGTCACAAAGGGTTTCTACACTCCGGACTGCTCGCTTTGACTACTTCCTTTACCGCTTCCTACGTCGTGGACCTGTTTCCCTCCCTTCCTATAGCATTTCATTATAGCAGATACATTAATCTAACTGCCACAAAGGGTTCCCACACTCCGGAATGCTCGCCTTGACAACTTCCTTCACTACTTCCTAAGTGTCGTGAACCTGTTTCCCTCCCTTCCCATAGCATTTTTAGAATTGCAGATACATTATTCTAATTGTCACAAAGGCTTCCGACACTCCGGACTGCTCACATTGACTACTTCCTTCACCACTTCCTACGTCGTGGACCTGTTTCCCTCCCTTCCTATATCATTTTAGTATTGCAGGTATATTAAACTAACTGTCACAAAGGGTTTCTACTCTCCGGACTGCTCGCCTTGACTACTTCCATCACCGCTTCCTTCGTCGTGGACCTGTTTCCCTCCCTTCCCATAGCATTTTCGAATTGCATTTACACTGATCTAACTGTCACAAAGGGTTTCTACACTCCAGAATGCTCACCTCGACTACTTCCATTACCACTTCCAACGTCGTGGACCTGTTTCCCTCCCTTCCTATAGCATTTTAGTATTGCATGTATATTAATCTAACTGTCACAAAGGGTTTCTACACTCCGGACTGCTCGCCTTGACTACTTCCATCACCGCTTCCTACGTCATGGACCTGTTTCCCTCCCTTCCCATAGCATTTTAGAATTGCAGTTACACTAATCTAACTGCCACAAAGGGTTTCTACACTCCAGAATGCTCGCCTCGACTACTTCCATTACCACTTCCTACGTCGTGGACCTGTTTCCCTCCCTTCCTATAGCATTTTAGTATTGCAGGTATATTAATCTAACTGTCACAAAGGGTTTCTACACTCCGGACTGCTCGCCTTGACTACTTCCATCACCGCTTCCGACGTCGTGGGCCTGTTTCCTTCCCTTCCTATAGCATTTTAGTATTGCAGGTATATTAATCTAACTGTCACAAAGGGTTTCTACACTCCGGACTGCTCGCCTTGACTACTTCCATCACCGCTTCCGACGTCGTGGGCCTGTTTCCCTCCCTTCCCATAGCATTTTTAGAATTGCAGATACATTATTCTAATTGTCACAAAGGCTTCCCACACTCCGGACTGCTCACTTTGTTTTAATACTGAACATAAACGGTATATAACTGCCGACTAATATTGTTAAGTTCAATTTATTATTATGAAAGTTGTGAGATTTAATTAGCTTAAATAACATTATTCTGAAAGCTGTGAAATTATAATGATATATATTCATAGACGCCAAACTGTTTACTCCATGAATGAAAGAGCTTAGAGTAAAAGTCGTTCTCTCTGTCTCAAGTAGACAACAAAATTGTTGGTCGCAAAACGTAAACAAATAAAAAGAAGAAGAAGGTAGCTCCTAATGTTATTCTTATGGGACAAATTTAAAAATGTTTTTTAAGTATTTTATAATTACTACTGAGCGGAATCATCTAGAATTTTAATGGTGTCTTTACACTGGTGTCATAACTATTTGTGCAAAATTTGAACGCTATAAGTGCAACGGTTCTTGAGTTTTAGGTGCGAACACACACACACACACACACACACACATACTCCAGCGGACAACTTTTCTCCGACTCCGCTATACACGATACATAGATTCGTTCACTTCGTTCACTCATCTATAATTTGACAGTTCAATCAGCAGAGGTTAAGAGGTACAGGTTCTGCTCCCAAGATTCAAAAGTGTTAAGCTTGTGAGAAAAGTTTAGTTTAAATATTTATGAAAATATGCTTATTTTCATGGAAACAGAAGGATCATTACAATGTATAGACTTACTTGACTTATTTCCTGTCACTCCTTGGCGGAGCATAGGGCCTCTACGAAACAGCGCCAACGGACATGATTAGCAGCCAATGCCTTAACTTCTCTCCAGCTCTTACCCGCCTCTCTGATTTCGGCTTCAATTGTTCTTCTCCATGTTTTTCTCGGTCTTCCTCTCCTCCTCTGTCCCTGGGGATTCCAGCTTAAGGCCTGTTTTTCTACGGCGTCTTGATCTTTGCGCAGAGTGTGTCCTATCCATTGCCATTTCCGTTTTTTAATTTGTATATCTATGGGATCCTCTTTGGCGGCTGTCCACAAATCTTTATTAGAGATTACTTCTGGCCAATAGATTCTTAAGATTCTTCTTAAGCACCGGTTCACGAATACCTGTAGCTTGTTTGTGATTGCTAGAGAGACTTTCCACGTTTCACATCCATAAAGTAAAACTGACTTTACGTTGGTGTTAAATATTCTTAACTTTGTTCTGGTTGATACTTCCCTAGCTCTCCAAACTGGGTATAGTTGAACAAATGCAGCATTTGCCTTCTTGATTCGGGCCACTACATCATCATCTGCCCCTCCATTTTTTGTCAACACACTCCCCTAAATATGTAAAAGAATCCACTTCCTCTATCTCTTCTCCAGCCATTTTAAACATATTGTTATTTACTGGATTGATCCTCATTGATTTTGTCTTTTGGACATTGACTTTCAACCCTGTAGCTTTCTCTTCTTTTTCAAGATCTGCAAGTTTTCCTTCCATATCTTTGAATTTGTGGGCTAAGAAACAGATGTCATCTGCAAATGCAAGTTCTTCAAGCTTCTGCTGTAGACCCCAGGAAATACCCTTTGCTTCTCTCCTACTTATGTTCCTCAACACCTGGTCCAACACAACCAGGAAGAGGGTTGGTGACAAGACACAACCTTGCCTCACCCCTAGCTTTACCTCTATCGGGTTGCTTAAATGTCCATTGTGTATAATTTTACAACTGTAGTTCTTGTACATTTCTTTGATTAGGTTAATTATTTTTCCAGGGATTCCTAATCTTGTCAATCCTCTCCAGATTTGGTCCCTTTTAATAGAGTCGAAGGCTTTCATAAAGTCTATAAAAACCAGATATATACCAACACTGTATTCATTCATTTGTTCGATTATTATTCTCATTGTGTTGATCTGGTCAATGTATAGCAACAATTATAATGTAATGATTTGGAATCATTTTGATATTGTAGCTTTTTGTTTACAAATTTGAACTGGTTAAAAACATGTTTGGATCAGGATTTTTATAGGTTTTAAAAACTCATACAGAGATATATGTACTGGTACAGTTTAAAAATTTAACTGACTCAATGTTTACACTTTCTTTTGTGTTTTAATTCAATTTACAAACTAAATTTCAACTATACCTACTTTTATTCTGTCCAGAGGTCATCAAAGCTACTACCTATAAGCTACTACTTATATTTTCTTCTATTAATTAATTACTTTACATTTGCTTTTTTTACATTTACAGAAACCTCCTTATTAGTTGTGTTTACAACACTGCTTAAATATGACCATGGAGAAAATCACAAAACTAAGCTGCACGCAATCACATAAAACATACTACCATAACCCAGAATGCCAACCGCATGGTAAAAAGCGTTAACTACTTTGAGAGAGCTTTGCCTGTCAATTCGTAGGCAGCGCCACCAGCGTTTACGATGCTGGTGGCGCTGCCTACGAATTGACAGGCAAAGCTCTCTCAAAGTACATAGTGTAGTAGTTTCTGTGACGCAATTCACTTTTGTTTCTAAAATCAATTATCTGTAACGTAACTATGTTTCTTTACTCAATGTTTTAAATTAAGATGTAAATTAATGCAAACGCATACACGTTTTGAACTATGGAACGAGTTAAAATATTAACTGTTATGTATTATGTTGTTGATTTATATTTAAATTGGTTAAATCTGTGCCCTGATTAACAATAGGTTATACAAGTTTTCCATTACTTTATTTTTGCTTATTATTGTGATATATACACACTGATCTGCAGGTAAAGATTGAACTTTGAAAAAATCTCAGTAGCTGTGGTCAAATCAATATAATCAGTTTTTTTTTCTTTGCTACAGTGCCTTATGTTGTGCGATTATTTTTCCTTATTTACTTTATATGTAAGTTTTTCAACGACATCAATATTTAAGTAAGCTTATCATTTGAAAATTGAATCGTATGGGTACATTATTTCCATACATGCATCAGCGCCTCATATACTCATACATTTGTACTAGGTAGCCTTATAAGTTAGCATAGCCTTAAAGAAAAGAGTTTCAATTGAGCTATATGTTCCTGAAACCAAAGGGGAATGTGTAACTATATTATACCACAGAATTAACACGTTCGCTACTGTAATAGTACGAAATTTTTCATTCAAATGGACTAGCGACGCACATATGCGACGGCTAGTTTCCACCCATAGACTGCCGTCGCATATATGCGACGGCTAGTCACATTACAATAGACTGCCGTCGCATATTTGCGTCGGGGTTCTAATGTTATTAAAATGCTTATATCTTTGTAACGGTCTATTTGAAGGCACTGAATTCCCTGCAGTGGTCTACAGAGATGTCTGACGCACAACTGCGTCGCTTGGTCTGTGGATATGATGATTGGTTACGTCATATGATAGTTTAAAAAAAAGGTCTTTACTTTTCTTCATCCCTGTGCAGTATGTATGCTACATTATCCTATATGTAGCTTTTATATTTGTTCAGTTATAAACTGTTCTTGAATAATCTGTATTTTGTACTTACTTTCACCTCAAAACACAAACAAAAATTAACTGTCGCATATATATGCGTCGTTTGGTCTATTTCAAAAAAATTATGATAATTTTCACTATTGTCTTCGCTGTAGACTGGGCGTCGCAAATATGCGACATTACAAAAGGTTATAAAAAATACAAAAAAACAAGAATAAATTATTTACAAACACGATTTTAGCATATTACAATGTACATAATCACTGTTTTACAGGTTTTCGCCCGTGGTCTGTGTGTACTGTTAACCAAGTGACAGCCGGTCTATGTGTAAGATTCATAATGTATACCTCAGTCTGTGACAATGAATACACAAACTATAAAGAAAAACAGGTCCTATGGACAATATTCTAACAGTATTTTCAAATTTGGCGCGCGAAATATCTGTAGTTCTGCACTAAACCACCACTCAGCGCTGTAGTCAAGTTTAGCACGCGGTAATGTGCGAGAGAGAGCGACATACATTGTTTTCGCCCCCTCTCTCTTTCTCTCATGGCCTGGCCCACAGGGGACGAAAACAGTGTATGTCGCTCCCTCTCGCACTTCACCGCGTGCTAAACTTGACTACAGCGCTGAGTGGTGGTTCAGTGCAGAACTACAGATATTTCGCGCGCCAAATTTGAAAATACTGTTAGAATATTGTCCATAGGACCTGTTCTTCTTTATAGTTTGTGTATTCATTGGCGACGCTCAGTAGCGAACGTGTTAAAGATCAAATTTTTCGCTTCAGTGTCCTCTCCGTTGCGAAGCATGGGTACAGCAGCAAGTTCTTATTAAAAAAACAGTGGTTTATAAATTTTTCTGTAAGCAATTTGGAAAATTTGTGTTTTGGAAAGTTGGAGATTGGACAACTGGAGTTCTACTGTATTATGTCTAGTTTAGCCGACAGAAGGGAAGTTATATGAACCTCACAATAGACTTATTTTACCCAACAACTTATTATTTAAGAAGTAATATAATTAGCCTTAACTTAGTAGCCTAGTTATATACTTACAAATTAAAGCTGCATTGTTGTTATGTTTGCGGAATCTGAACTGTCTCAGAGCATCTTTCACATCATCTTCAATGTCACACACTTTCATAGACTGAAACGAAAAACTCTACTAGTATAGGGTGATTCAGTAAGTTTAGTTAAGAGGTGGTTCCAATTTAAAAACTAAATAACATTGATCGTAGTTGACTTTTTCATTCCATTGCTGTGAAATTTGAAATAAGTTACTGTTATCACACCAGAATCGCAGTGGAGTAACAGAAGGAGGGAGGGGCGCAAGCTGAGGGGGCCCTTGAACCACTGAGCGGGAAACGGCGAGCAGAGAAGCCCGTGAGACAAGTGGGGCCGAAAAATTGGAGTTCATTCTTATTTAAATGTATTATCAATTATTCAATAATTGTATTGAACAAGTAATAACATTAATGTTATTAATAATATGTTGTTATCGTTTAATTTTGTTAGGCCTCTTCAGTAATAACAAACTAAGGTAACAAATTTAACGTTTTAAGACGTGGGTCATTGATTATTATGCAATCTTACTTTCGTCACCGGGAAATATTTTACTTCTCTGTGATTTAGTGCACTGCTTATGTCGTCTGCAAACATTCTGAAACATTAAGTTACCTGGAGCCTGAAGTCATGAACGTTGGCTGGGGCTTTTAATCTATAATATTAAAACGAAACAGTGTTTTTTTTATTTCACGATTCTGAATCAACCACTCGACGGATTTTCATGATTTTTGACTTGAAAGAAAGATAATTTTGAAAACTAGGGAATGTCGAAGCCATAATATTAGTTTAGGGTCCCAGTTTTTTAGAAATTAAGTTTTAATTTTTAAAAGTTCTAGCAGCCGACGCTAAGATTCTAAACTAGCTTTTGGCATAAAATAATTTGCTTAACATAACAGCTGTAAACATTCAGCTTTTGTGTCACAAATTCAGCATATGGATAAAAATGTAAAGACATACTTAGGGTTGACTTATTTATACTATGTGTAATGCTAATCATTGATACGTTCAATTCTTCTGTAAGAGGATGACAGATTAATTAAATATACATAGTAAAATACTAGGATGTTCAAATTATTTTTTAAAGCAATCTTTGTAATCTTCGATTTGTTTTAGAGCAATATAATTTGTTATAACAGCTGGTTAAATAAAAACTATAGAACTGTGAAGTTATTTTATTTACTCTTATTTTGTCATTGATTATAGGAAATAAGTAAGATTAGTAGAGATGATTAGACCACAGTTTAAAATAGTTTAGACCAAAATTAATTAAACCACAGAACGACAGAACAAATCAAGGCTCTGAACACGAGTCTTAATAAAAAACGATAAATGCAAATTATTTTACTGCTCCACTTTTCAAGGAAAGATTAGAAAAATAACAATGTTTACATGTTTTAATTCTTCATGGTAGCTTTCTGTTTACAATTAATGTTTGTCTGCTTTAACTTTGTTAGGAATAGGCCCGGAAATATTGATGTCATAAAAAGAAGATCAAGAATAATCAGGAATCACGATTTTAAATTACCACCACAACCTCAGCCTCAGCCTTATACAAAGATAAACAGATGGATGACATAGATTGAACACAACGGCAACATTGACCTAGGATACTGCAATTAGACAAACCATCCTTTTATGAAATCGTGTTCAGTTGTGGTTACGTTTGGGGGTGCCTATATTAGCGCCCCCAAACGTGAAAATATCACTTTTATTTCAACTATGAATATATTGTAGTTTAAAAGAACTAATATGGAAAATTACGATGTACATTTATTCAATGAGGGTGGGTAATTACATAGACTAACCAACACAAGTAGACTTCTCATCCCATTGTAAATTTTGAAGCACGTTTATCGTGTCTAGTTCATGTACGTGACACAAAGGTGCTAGTGTCGATGAAACTTTGTTTCCATTATTTTAGGGTTAATTTCTTGATTTGTGCTTTACTGTTTGGTTATATAACTAGGGGACAAGTTATTGTTTATGATTAGATCGTATAATTTGGTTGAACGAGGTTTTAAATGGCTGTAATAACGGGAAACAAATTGTAAACAAAACACGACCTCTACATAAACCGTACATGAACTAACAATAAAATTGTCTTCAGCTGTTCCATAAGGATGAGAAATCTACTAAGGGAGTATGTTTTATCTATGGTAATTATCAAGGATAGAACTGATAACGGTATGGATAATAAACATTGACAATTACGTCATTATATAGCTTTACTAGCGTGTTTACTTTTTATATTCCTGCTACATGTGACCAGTTCTTTTTTCAAATGAATGTCATTTGAACCAAACAGCTGTTTCAAAACAAACTACTATTGTTTTTACTTTTCTTTGTTTACACTTATTTATTTAGCAATTAATGCAGTGAAATTGATATTAAGGATAGGTGGGACGATTAGTTTTGATGTTAGGACACCAAAGTTAAATTATGTGTACTATGAATTTTATTGGATACTATCGTTTTATTTTAGGTCGTTTCTATTCAGACCTACTGGAAATTGTGTATAGTAGTTGTATTGTGGTGATAATAATTATGGAAGAAGCAGGTATGCTATGGAAGGTGGTATCGTTGACTAGGTCTATACACTTCTCAATTGATTATTACTCTCTATACTGTAGGCTACTTATAATCAGTGTGTGTCTGTGCGAATCGGCTGCAAATCTCACTCAACGCTTTTCACATCGTAAAAATTGCAGAATTGCTGTTTTATTGTAAAATTATCGGATTTAAAATGCATATTGTATAGGCCTATGATGGAATAAAAACATATTTGGTCACACAACATTTGTTTACGAGAGAATTTTTCACATTAAAACTGCAAGAAACTTTGTCTTCATATGTGTAAATTAGCTGATCTGAATTGTGCACGGTTTTAACTGACTACTGAATTCCCGTACGTAGGACGGGCTAACACCTCGTATTGTATTATTTTACACTAGAGATCCCGTGCGGCTCAATGAGCCGCATAGTATGAAACATAACGCCAAAGAAAAGTTTATGCTTAAATTTGAGTAATTGTAGCTACTTAGAGTTGTTGAAACACTTGTTAGAAACTAATTTTAAATATCTCTGTTTGCGTCTTCAAGGCTCATCTAGCCTACATTATTTCTGCTCTCAATTTTAATTAATAACTTCCAATGAATGCTAATCGATCTGCTTCAATTCGAGTTAACATGTTGCAACAAAGTTTTTTTCCAGCATTGAGAATTGAAGAAAACTGTTGCCTTAGGCCTACTGATGACCTGTGTTTAGTAATTTAAGTTGGGTGATTTTATTTCTTTGATTTGAGACACGACCCCCTAATCAAACAAATTTTATTCGTGGAGAACCCTGAAAAGTGAGGTGATATCAACCATTTCATGTGCTCCTTTTTTGCCAACTGGACTGTCATAATCTGCTGTGAATAGGCTAAAGCAGCAACACCATTGAAAGTTGGTTAACATATTTTAACGTTTTGTCTGTCAGTCTCACGTTTTTCAGTGGAGTTTCTCTAAATACCTGTCCCAACGTTTTGAAAGTATGGATTCATTTGTCGAAATAGGTTGGATAACCCTTGTAGCTATACGATTTGGATAGCAATTTTAGTATTCTCTTTTTGAACAGCGTATATTATTTGCCTTTCCTAAATCATAAAAATAAACTTGACCCTAACAACTTGATCGTTGAATACATAAACACTAATTCCTTCACTTATGTTTGGTCTAATATTGCCACTAAAACTTTCAATAACAAATGAGTTGTTGAAACTTCTTATTCTTGACTTGAAATGTCTGGATTGTGTTGGTAAATTCAGTCAATAAACCTTGTATAAGTTTTTCCGAGGAACTGGCAACATAACCTAGAAGTAAACAATCCATTTGCGTTTTTTCTTAATTGAAGTGGCGCGAGTAATACAAAAGTTTACAATAACAACATAAGGTCCGCCAAGATTTGGTTTAATCTTACTACTTGAACTAATCATAGTCAAAGCATTAATATAGTTTATACTAAATGATTTGAAATATCTTGTTTTGTCAGTGTCAGAAGTAAACATTTCTTGCATATTCATTTGATCTGACATTAGGCAAGTTTACTTTACCACTGTGACAACACTATGCGCTTCGTATATTTTTTCACTTCCAAAGTGAGTTGCATAGCAGATCGTTGTATAGCAGAACTGGCAAATATTATTCATATCACCAAGTGAATGTGTATCTGGATGGGTGTCTGTTAGACCAGACCTCTGTATTTCTACTCTCCTCATACACATAAGATATCTATTAATAGTCATTGAATAGTCATTTATTCAGTCTTTAAACAATACATTATTGTAATTGACATCGTCATTATTATTGTAAAAAGATATAAGATGCAATACTTATAATTAATAAAATTTGACATGAAAATTCCAAAATATAGGCTGCCCTTAGTTTAACATTTAACAGGTTTAAAATAATTTAAAAAAAAATAGGCAAACTTAACAAACTTAAATTATGAATAATAGTGGGTCTTTCTTAAAAAGGCTAATGGTTATCACAGGTGTAACAATGAATAACATAGAGGGACAAAATTTCTCCTAATTGTCTCCTACTCACGTTTTCAATATTTCTTCTTTGAACTTGGGGTATTTTCTGTTCTTCCTACAAACTGATTACCGGTTTAACTTGGTCTTAACCTACTCAATATTACAAACATTAATATTTACTCCCAAAAAGCTAAAGAGTTTCTTTTTATAAACAGCTGTTTTTTGTTTTTAAATTTGTTCTATGTATTTCTTATGGGGAAAATCCAACCTTTGAGAGGGTCTCACGCCCTTAAGAGTAGGAATTTCAAAATTCTAAAACCTTATTGCAAAACTACATGTTGAGACGAATCTTTTGACACCTTAAACGTTGAAATTGGTCCCCAAATAAGGGAGGAGTTGCGTTAACAAAAAACGGCTTCACGTATTATATATATAGATAGATAGATTTTATTTTTGCCCTAATATTGATTGTATTTTGTTAAATACAATATATTGCTATCCTACTGAACTGTGTTTGTTAGCCTATATCTAATTTTACCTCACAATTAACCAATACTATAGACATAATGTTTTTAATGTTAACGCTTGATATCCATACAAAGATAAAACAAAAAATGCAATAGGGTAGGTTATTGAAGCCTGTGATCAAAGTATGTCAATCTTTTAAATTACCGTAAAACGGGGTGACTTGAGCCCACTTTTGAACTTTGCTTGTTCATTAAAGTAAACCCATTAAGTATTTTTTTATAAATCTTTTACAGTAGAACCCCTCATATCCGGCCTTGGTTTTACCGGTCCTCTGTTTATCCGGCCCCGTCCAAGGTGCCAATATCAAAATTTTTTTCTCACACCTTACAGACGTTTAGATACAAGCACTAGTCTTTGTGACTGCTTAAGTCATAAAATAAATTGTTCTCATTATTTATCTGTTTGTTTATACATTTATTAGCTGAGTCACTATACTCAGTTGAGCTAGTAGGCCTAACCTCTGATCAGTTGGCTGATTATTTCCAAAGTGGGTTTAGTACAGTACAGTACGAGTACATTAATTTTTTATTTCACAAAATGGTTAAGAATGTTGAGTAGAAATGCAAGTACCATTTAAGTCCTAATGATCTTAAAGTACAATTTATTGTCATTTTTACCTCCGTTTAATATGTTTTGTTACGGTACCTGGACATAATATTTGTAGCCTACATTCATTACTTACAATAATGACTTTAACCTACAAATAGGTATTTTTTTCATTTTTATAGACATGTTTATTTTTCTAAAAATGATCCCAGAACAGAATTAAATGATACTTTTGATTGCATATATTGATTAGGCCTACCTATTATTATTAGGTATGAATTGTCATTTTCATTGTAGGTTGGTTTATCCGGCCAAATCGTTATCCGGCCAGGGGCTTGGTCCCGTGGTGGCCGGATATGAGGGGTTCTACTGTACAGTAAACTTAGTCTTGGTCTATTCTACAAATGTGTGGAATAAGATTTTTTTAAAGTTAGTGTAACTATAAAAAAAAAAATAAAATATGGGTGGGCTCAAGTCACCTCGTTGGTCGGGGTGACTTGAACCCAGCTGATATATTTCAATGCTATTCTAATGCACTAGACCCACTGCACTGACCCATGAGGTGACTTGAACCCACATATATAGCTGACTATTTTGGTATTTTTTTTAGATTAAAAATTCCTGTTTTTTTAGGTTTAATGACGGTAAGTGTAAAACAAAACACAAAGTTTTCGTCGAAACTGTAATAAATTTATAAAAAACTTACAGAAACATTTAAACAAATTTTACTTACCAAATATTGAAGATCTGAATATCGTTAAAAAGTCCACCAGCAATTTTTGAAAATATAAAAAAGTAATTTTTTCTGTAAATGAAATGTTGCCAATATCTCGTTCTAGTTAATCCGAACCGATTCGTCACTCCGATATAGAAAACTTCACAATAGACATTTTGACAGTCAATAATAGACTAACTAAATGTAAAAATAACAAATTGTTTTTTATCTACACACTATTTACACTAGTAAAAGCACTTGTTCTACTTTAAGTATTTGTCCATTAACCGCCACTTTTCCACTTCTGGAACGGCAAAAGATCCTCTGGCGGTAATGGGTGTGGGGGCTGCTATTTTTCCTTTAACTTCTAACTTTTTTTAACATTCTAATTTTTTCTAACTTGAAAAAATTCAACAGATATTATTTATTACAATAAAAGTGTCTTATTTCATTACTAAACAAACGTTACCACTTAAACACAGGTGGGCTCAAGTCACCCCAAAATCTGCCAAACTTGGTCATGATAAGGTAAACCCAGGTCATACTGACTTAAACCATTACATAATCAAACATGCTTCAACATGTTTGTGTTGTCAAGGAAATAATGAAATGGGGAAAAATAGTTTTATTTTCATTTAAGTGCAAATACCCATTGTGCCGATAACCTTTTTTCAACGTAATGAAATTCAGATTCGGACGTGTTAACATTATTATTTTTTATAATTATTAAAATGGACAGTTAATATAATTGGAATTGTTTGTGGTGAAAGCTAATTAGGTAACCTTCAAATTGATATATAAAACCTTTTGATAAATCATTTAGGTTTTCTGAAACGAAAATTCAAAACTTTTTCTTGCGTTTTGGGCTCAAGTCACCCCACTGGGCTCAAGTCACCCCGTTTTACGGTAACTAACTTTTAGTGTATGAGTTAATTATATATAACCAAATATTAAACTATCCTAATAAATAAATACTTTAATACATTACTTTGAAATGGTGACCATACAAATGTAGGCCTAGGTATTTTATGGCAAGTATGAATGGAGGTGAGTGTAGGATGAGTGTCGCGATCTTTAGTCTTGTTAGTGACTAAGGCTGACATATTCTTTAGACACAGCTGTTAATTAATAGCCAATGGCAACTAAGGGGCCTACAGTTTATAGTGGAATCCGGACCATATTTTTGCCTTGTAATTACTGAATTAGTCTAATTATCAGGATAATGGATAACATGTGTGATAAATTTAATGCAAAACCTCCTTGATATAAACATTCTGATATGGATGAAAAAATAAGGTATTTTTATTTTACTTCAAAACTGTTTACAAATACTGTTACAGTATTGATTAATGATGTAGTGATGTAGCTTTTTCATCAAACCAAAACTAAAATACTTAACACCACCCTTTTATGGAACATAGTCCTTAATTTATTTACTACTCTACAATATTTATGATTAAGTTAATCTGATCATTAATTGTATCGGTGGTAAAAAAATAACTCATGAGAGGGGGGCCCAAAAAATAAGTTTGCAGGGGGGCCTGTAAAAATCTGTCACGCCACTGCAGAATCCAGTTGGACTGTTTTGCTTAAACCATCTAAGTTACTGGTAGTAGCCTAGGACAAACCCCAAAGGAAATAATCCAGTGGTGGCTAGTTCTATGATATCACTGATAAACAAAACCAGAGATTAACTTAAACGTTTGAAAATCTTTGTGTGCAACGTGCAACAAGCTTAACACTGTTTCAGAAATATTTGCCAGATTGGACACTTGTTGTAAAGTAGGTAGGCCCTAATTACAAATAGGGCCTCATTATAGCCTCATATACAAACACTATTAGGAGGATGAGGCTGGACATTGTGAAAAGATTATAGAAAAAAGCTAGACTTTATATTAAAGCTTGTTTAACCATTGATGAGATAGTGCCAAATAACCATATAGAAGAATATAACACATAGGTTAAATGAAGTTCTTAAGGGCTACACAAGATCAAGAAGTTTGTAAATAGTTAAGAAAGGAGGGTTTGAGGGGCTTTCGTAAAGTCAAAGGTCTGCTCAAGTGCTCAAGAGGGAGAGTAGCAAAAGCAAGACTTATGATATTTTTCCAACATGTTTTAGCCTTTGACAGCTCAACTTGAGTCATTAAACAATATTTATTTATTACTTACCATTTTAATGCAATAGTCTTAAAAGTGTCCAAAAGCGTATAAAAAACAAAGAATTAGTTGTATGATTATTCAATCATACATAGAAACACTGGCTATAAACTGGCAATCTAATTAGTTTGAATTGAAGTTTGGATGAGGTGTCACTCGCTACACTACTCAATTCAATATGTTGATGTTCACTGTTCAAATTCGCAAAAGTCTAGTGTAATCGTAATGCTTCAAGATGTTTGTTCTTGTTGTTAATGACTCAACTCAACCAACCCAATGACACTAGTGACAGTTTGAGTCTGTCTGACAGACAGCGATTTTCTTCCAGGCCCAGTTCCATTGAAAACCTTTCTACCTTTTCACACAGTACCTGTGATGAATTTCTTTTATACGTTGATCACTGGTTATAGTCTTATCATATTCATTGATTATGTAACTTATCTTTGGTGTCATCCCAGTTTCAAGAACTTTGATTAATGTTAGTTACATTCTTTTATTGCTCCCATGCTCCGTTCTTCCTTGAGCCAGTACTAGTTTGTATTTGTAGCAAACGCGCATGGGAAGGGTGGAAAACCACGGCCACCTTTAACTACAGGCCGCGGCCTGTTAGAATTGGCAACGTCGCCAGTGGTGTTGTTTAGTGACAGACGTCCCATAAGATAACATGGAAGACAGTTGACATCAGCTCATTAATTCACACTTTATTGATTTAAATTTAAATTAATGAATATTGCAAATAAAACATACAGAATTTAAAACCGAAAAAATATGAATTAAAATCTATATCTGTACTTTTTTAAGTGAGTCAATGTTGTCATAGTCCAGTAACCGATCTTTCGTAAATACACAATAGTTATTTGTGCAACTAGTGAGAAAAGTGAGCAATTGACTCACTCGAGAGAAATCCTTACTCACGAGCCGTAGGCGAGTGAGGAATGGTTTCTCGAGTGAGGCAATTGTACTTTGAACTCGAGTTGCACATTATACTTTTCCTACATTTTCCATAAAACAAATAAATTTGTGAAGAAACATAACCTATTTTTACACAGAAGTGAACTTTTAATATAACATTTAATGTGAAGTGACAAATACAACAGTACAACAGCTGACCAGCTGATTTACAGCCAGTGCTGCCAACGTATTTCGCGAGCATACGACGTTGCCTGCATGTTACGCGCTCACTATTTCGTGCCTTCACGTTGCAAATCTGGAGTGAGACAAAGTAATTAGAGTGAGACAATGTTAACATTGTCTCACTGATGAGCGAATTGGCCACTTTGCTTGCTCAAATCAGTGAGGAAACATGTACATTGTTAGGTAACTGTAGGAAAATACCATTTCAGCTGCTTCCAAACAAAACAGCTGTTACAACACCACTTGCGACGTTGCCACTGCGAAGGCCGCGGCCTGGAGTTAAAGGCGGCCGTGGGAAAACTCAATGATCGAATGAAGAGATGAGGAATTTTAATTTTAACACTTGATTTACTCTAAAAGAACAAAGGTACTTAATATGGGTTACTATCAATTGAAAATATAGAATATATGAAAGTGATTTTGAAAGCGGATACATGCCCATTGCCCAACCCCACGGACACCCGCGGCAGGAGGGAAAGATAGACAAATAGAATTACAAGAATTACCCTTATTTTCCTTAGTCAATGATAGCACGTAACCGGGGCTCACGGACTCTTCAAAACCAACCGACTAACTCCAGGCTTGAGGGTCCCACACGTCAAACGGAATTATGACATATCTTGTCAGCAGAACAATTAGGCCACACACTTTCTATGCCATGACCAAAACAACCTAACGTGAGGTAGCAATCGTTGTACCCAATACTTTGTAACACTCAACAAAACCCAAATAAACTGCAAGATTATGCTGGCTAGTGGAGTTGCGACACGCTTCCACTGACCGATTGCCAATATTACCGGCAATAGCCATAAAACTGGGTTTTGGGCTGGTCTCCATGATATTCCAAAAGTATGGTCAACTGCCTGGTTGTCACATATTCACCATATGCATTTCGTCAGCTTGTGTGGCATCTTCAGAGGATCTTCTTAATTTGCATAAAACTAACTCTACTGTGTAACTGTGTATTATTTACAAAACATTTACGTGTGTCACGGTATCACTAGACATGATGACTAATAATGGAGTAACGAGTGACTTGCCAATCAAACGGACGTCGGACAGTCATGATAGCGGTAAGTCAATATTCTTCGTTTCTCAGACTGGGGGTTTGGAATTTGGGCAGTTCGACGGTTGAAAAGGGTATTTACAGCAAAAATATAGTGTTATTTCAAGCCATTGGAGAGAGCCGAAACCTCACAGACCGGGGCTGTTATAGGAGTTATCTCCTATCTTACGATGTGTTATAGGACATTGAAAACCAGAACACACCCTCCCTCCCTCTTCCACAAGGTAAAATAGCATTAGAGTACACCAGAGACTTCTCAATAGTAAACTATCCTTTCAAATTTATCACATCACAAGATGCTGAAGGAAATATATAAATTATTATATGTTACTCATCTAAACACTTGAACTGGAAGAACAGACTACTGCGCTTCATAGAACTTGCAAATGAGTGCATCAAGTTCCCGTACTATTCTCCGTCAACTTAGAGGAGGTCATGAAGGCAATTAACCTGAACGATGCAAGTATAAGAGAGCTTCTGCAAGTCCTTTTCCAGTTCTCATGCAATGCATATCTTCACCGAGACAGAATGTATATAGACAAAAAAAAACTTTAAAAAATTATTGACGATATCCTTGACAGCACGGTGAGCAAAAATCAGAGAAAGATCTGAAAAATATCCCCACCAAGACAAGAAGCCATGTACAACCTTTGGAGATGAGTGACTCGAGGATCTCTCGCCCCACCAAATCCCTACGACCCCCCTCGACCACTGGTAACACCCGACAAAGCCACCTTCAAACAAGCAGCCATGCACGAGCAGAAAGAACTGTGGAAAGCAAAAGAGAAAATCATCCTCCAGGAACTCAGCTTGGTTTACAAAGAATACCAAAAAAATAACTTAAGTGAAAGAAATGAAATGAAATAATAAAAGACTTCAGAGAAAAAAAGAAAAAATAAATACGCCATCATTGACTTACAAACTGGAGAACATCTAACAAATCAATAAGTTATAAAGCACCATCAGTTTGGCTTCGACGGAGCCTGATTAATTGAGCTTAAAATAGATGAAAATGGTAAATACACAATTGCTCCTAATAACATCACATTAAATTCCAACATACTTATACAAACCATGTAGAAGTAAACTAAAAATTTTCTTCGGCTGATTTTAATGTGTGTAATTTTGGATATATATTTGTCATCCTTAATTATTATAGGGCCCATGAACCTATAACCATAGATAAAAAATACTCCTCTTGAGGAGTATGTTTTATCTATGCTATGATAGACTAACCAACACAAGCTATAACAGTATGTTTTATCTATGCTATAACGTAGTGTTTCAACGTTAATCATAAGTTTAGCACAAACTCTGTAGCTCAATAGACAAAAAGTTCACCACCATTTAGCCAGAATGTTTGAGTTGAAGGTGGAAAAATACGACCTTCTCACCGCAGTATTTCACCTTCCTTTTTTTGAACTTTTGGGACAGTTACACGGAACTGTTTGGAATAGTTGTTAAGACCGTTACATGACAAACAAAGAGTTCCATTCCATTTCCTTTTTAGGTGTTCATTTTGTTTTTCGTGGATCTCTGTCTTCAACCTCCATTTTGTCTAGTGATTGTTCACTTTCTCTAAAAATCGATGGTGTAATTTCAAGAGTTCTGGATCAGTATGTCTGATATTAATATAAAAAGTTTGAATGTTCAATTTTTGTGACAAACACTTTGCTAGTAAATTTAGTTTAACGCGCCATACACGTAATGTGCATGACAGTTGTAGTGAACAATCTGACAGTTCAAACAACCCGAAAAGGCTTATTTGCCCAGAGGGTGATTGCTCTCATCAATTTTCGTGGTTGGAAAACTTGATACAGCATCTGGAAGAAGCCCATGCCATTGAAATAATAGTTGGGGAGCTGAATTTCGAAACAGAAGAAGGTAAGTTAAATTTATTATAATTATGAACTTCACAATACTGTATCCATAAATATAATAATAAAACTTTGATTTTAATTTGTGCACTTTTTCATTATGACTCCTCCATCAACAATACCTTATACCGTATAACCTTCCTCATTGTTAGCAAATTTAACAAAACTGTGCAATTTCTTTGAATAGTTTTCCTTAGTATGCTACTATATCATTATCTTTTAAGAATAAGCCGGTTTTCGTGTTGTAATGCAAGAATAATTAAGTAACCGAAACCAGATAACTAACTTACAGGTTATGTCTATAAAAGACTCATTATTATGAGGAGGAGCAAAAAAGGTATATCATAATAATCAAATTTTTATGCAGGAAAAATAATCAAGTTGAGAAGGAACGGAGCTATTTGTAATATAACGGTTTCGCCAAACCTATTCTATACTTTTTGTCACAGTTGCATTGAACACTATTCCAAACAGTTCCGTGTAACTGTTCCAAAGGTTCTAAAAAAATGAAGGTGAAATACTGCGGTGAGAAGGTCGTGGAAAAATTACCGTCGTGAAGTTAGCGGCTCTTTTCATCGGCGCTTTTTCGGTTTGTAATAGATGTGGGTTGGTACGCCTGCGGACGCCACAAACGTGTTTTGCAGGGATGTCGGAAACACAAATCAATGACAATACGATGCGAAATGATGTTTTTATATTTATATAATGTCAATAATACATTGATAAAACGTGTATACAAGTTAAAACTAATTATTTGACGTATTTTAAAAGGCATATTTGAGACCGTACTGTACATTATACGTAGCTAAGGCTAAACATAACGCGAACAATTAAAACTCCGAACATAAAAAGTGCATAATCTTTTTCCCAAGCCCATCACATCAACTTTGAGCTATTCTAATGGTAATACACAATGTGTAGAATACTCAGTATAAATATGATTGAGGCAGTCCAGTGAATTACGAAGCTATAAGGCAAAATCTATATGGTTGATAGTAACTCGTATCAGGAAAAAGTGCACAATCTTTTTCCTAAGGCCATCACATCAACTTTGAGGTATTCTAATGGTAATGTACAATGTGTAGAATACTCAGTATAAATATGATTGAGGCAGTCCAGTGAATTACGAAGCTATAAGGCAAAATCTATATGGTTGATAGGAACTCGCATCAGGAAAAAGTGCACAATCTTTTT